TCACGGTCACCAATGTCGAACATGAAGGCTGGCTGACTATAGAAGCATTTGGTCACTTCCTCCTTTTCAGTGAATCTGGTTCTTCCCCACCGTTTCCCTTGCGGCATGATGTTCTTCGGGAGCTTGTCTTTTCTGCCTCTTGTCGCAGCTTTGGATCTTTCCGAAGACGATGGGGATTTTGACTTTTGGTCCATGATCAGTCTCATGCGCCACAAGGTGTCCTTCATGTTCTCGTCATCTGGTGTGGTACATTCATCAATGTCATGCATTCCACCACAAATGAAACAATATTGAACACTCGATGCTTCGGCAATCAACTTCTCAAATTGATCGCGGATGTTCCGCACCTCAGTTCGGCGTTTCTTCGCCTCCGAAGGTTGGCCCCCCACGTCCTCATCATCCTCCTCAATTTCGATGTCATCACCTCCGGCATCAGTTTCTCCCGAAGTCTGTTCTGCTCGAGGGCCTCGCGCCGTAGGCGACGTGGTCTCCTCTTCAGGCTCATCAACTTCATCCATCTCCTCATCGCTTGATGAGACTTCAATCATCTCAGGATGATCGTCGTAGTTGGCTGCTGGGAGTACCGGCATTCTGGTGATCTTCTTTTGTAGGAGTAGATCGAAGATTCCTGCCTCTCTCAGAACTGCTGTCACCATTTCGTTCTCGACTGACGGGATGTATGCTTTCCTGGATCGGTTTCGCTTCGTATTGATGGTGTCGGTAGGTCGACATGAACTGCTATAGAGCCAGAACGATTCTTCCAGTCCTGCGAGGCAACTGTCAAGGTTTGCCCCCCATCCACCAAACAATGTAGGGAATTGAATACCCAGGTCAAGCATCCCAAGCCAAAATTCGAAGATGTCGCCGATGTACTCGGCTGTTGCTGTTGGATTGAACATCGATTCGACCTCTTCTTTGGTCAATACGGTCTTCATGTAGTCATGATAGGCGACGTTTCCACCATCCCAAAGCAATCTGTAAAACCATCGCATTCTGCGTGCACCACCTCCACATTCCTCCGTACGTGTTTCACGTTGCACATTGAACTGGGGCAACAGGTCTCGTCTGCACTTTCCCTTCACCATGTATGCGGGCATGCGGATGGCACCTCGATGTGATACCTGCTTGAGCACGTCGCTGGTCGTCTTGTATCCTGATAGCATTGCAAGTGTTGCTGTGACCAAGAATCCACGGAGGTCCTTTTCGGCTTCCATGTCCCTCCAGTCAACGCATTCATTGTAGATGTTGAGCAATCTTGCAGCTACTCGTGCATCCTGTGAAATTCATCCATCCCAATGGCTTCAGTTCCGTAGATTGCCGATCTTGTCCAGTTGCTTGCGCAATTCAGACATCTTGTGCGATTCTCAGTGCAGGTGCTCATTCGAGAATCATTTTGGTGAAAACCTTTGCACACATCGCACATCAATTCGGAATCTTCGGTCACTTCAACCCAATGCTCATCCACATCTGTCAGGGGCTCCGGGGTGAATACTCCTCGTCGGATGTCTGACCATGCTTTTCTCTGGACCGAATCTTTCATGTGGCTCATTCCTCCAATGATGTTTGCCGATCCAGCTTGAGCATCTCTTGTGTCTCCAGTACGAATGCTGGGAACGATTCGTGGATGTTCTGTGCATCGTTTGATGGTTTCAATGTCAAATCCGGTGTTCTTCACATGGACACACTCTTCATTCAGGTCATGTACTGTATCATGATCCATGGCACAATGTAAGAAGACCTTCTGTCGCATCAATGACTTTTCAAGCATGGCCCAAATGACTTCCTTGCCTTCACCTTCTTTCCAATAAAAAGGCTCCCGTCCACATGCATAAATCTGTTTCCAGAATCTTTCATTGGTGGAGTGAATGATGCCCTTTTCTTTCAAGATTCTTGCAAGCTCCTCGGCGATGGATACAATCGAAGATTGGGACCCAAGAAACCGGGCGTCTTTCAGAATGTTGACAAAAATTGGAAGAGGTGCTGCTTGGCTGATCTCTGTGATGATTCCCGCCAACTTGACGACGAAGTCTGCATTTGGCATCAGCATGCGATTTTGTCCTCTGAACAATGATGCGAAAGAGATCCAAACGTGAACCGTCACACTTGAGAATGTTGCAGTATTGGTTCGTAGGAAAGTCAATGCGTTCGTTGCCAGTTTCAAGAAGTCCTCGGGCTTCTCCAGGGATTCATAGGGAAGTTGGTATACCTTGATGGATGAAAGACCCATGTTGTTGAGTCCAGCCTCAATGTCGTTGACAACTCTCGAGCTAGATCTCGTTTGGTAGGTCAGGTCCGTCAAGATGAGAGCCTTGTTGTTTCTCACCTGCCCTCCCAATTCGTCCCATCGATCCATCCAAGGCTTCCCGATGATGAACTGCCCAATCTTGTTTCCCAACTTCTTGAGCTTGTTTCGAATTTCGCCCTCCACCGTGTCTTCAATGCCCAATGTCAACATAGCTAAGACCTCCGTCACCGGATATCCTTTGCATCTGACAAATTCTGTGGACGTGATGATGTGGTGATAGAGCTTCAACCATTCGTAGTCGCTCTCGTTGATCATGTGGGAATCAAGTTGTCCTTCTGTCAACAAGTTGAAAGAAAGAGCAGCATGAAATGTCAATCTCCTCAAATACTGTCTCCAGATCAAGTTGGTTCCATACTTGTGAGTGGTGTGAGGGCCCTCTATGGTGGAAAGAACGAAATCTTTGCCGGATCGCAAGAATGCGATTCTCTGCTCTTCGCGTGCATAATCTTCGGCAGTATGGAGACGCACTTCCACGGTTGAAGGTTTCCTCCTCTTCATCCAGTCTTCAGTTGGAATCCAATTTTCATCTTTCTCTGGTTCAGCTTGATCTTGATGTGTCGTGCCTGGTCCAGATCGGAAAGCTGCATGGGTCGACGAAGATGCACCTCCGCCAGTTGATGATCTTGGCATCCTCTTCGGCTGAATGTTCGAACTTTGTGATTGTTGCGATGCCTGTGGTTGTGGTCCCTCCGGAGGAGTGGACGCACTCTGGGCACTTGGTCCAGTTGATGTATCATCATTTACCCATGAAGGTTCCTCATTGTTCCAGAAGTCGACTTCGTCGGGTTTTCGTCCATCTTTGAAGGTCAAGGGAACATCCCAGTTGTCAAAGTTGTGCATGTCGCCACCTGTTCCAGCTTGAGTCTCGGTCATTGAGTGTGAAATCTTTGAGGGAACTGTGGCAAGCATGACGTCTTTCTTTCTCAGTGTATCTGGCTCCTTCATCGGCAATCGAGACATTGTAACCTGTCCAATCAGGATTCCCTGAGGGATGTCAAAGGCTTTGAGGATCGAGAACTGGATCTCGGATAAGGTTGCTATCTTCGACAAATTCCCATCTCCTCGAGCGCTGGTCTTGTGTCTTTCGAGCGTCGTGCCGAGGGCCAACAAACATAAGAAGTGATTCTGGGCTGCACTCCTTCCTCTCGGTTGGTTGGTTTCAAAAGCGATCACATCCTTCATCACATCCTGCAAGATGATCTGATTCGATGGTGTCTGCTCATTGTGATATCTCAACGCATGTCCTAAGTGTCTCATCTGGATCTCAACCATGTGCTTCATTGCCGCCAAATAGCTATCGTTGTCAGATGGAGATTTCGGATTAACCTTGGTCAGTTCATCCATGACTTTGAAGTACTCGGCGGTTCTTGTCACAGCTAGCCATGATGTCGCACTTGGATCTGTGTTGAATGATGGAGTTCCTCGATACAATTGTTTCATGTTTCGGATCTTTGCCTCAGATTCTGCAGCAGTAGTTTGGTCATCAAAAGGTTCAGGAAAGTGTCCTTTGGACAAGACGATCCAGAGTTCATCAAGTCTGTCGTAGATCTCTTTGTCCATGAAGCGTCCCATCATTGCATCTTCATGTGGGCATCTGCTGGCGAAGACCTTCACGAATCTCGACCCTTTTGATAAAAACTCCCATCCGGAACATTTCTTCTCAGTATCCTGCGCTCTCTGCAACAACTTGTAGGCGACCTCCAGGGCTTCCGCAGTTGCTTCATTGGTGTGCCTGGTGTTCGCGAAGTAAGCTGAGTAGACTACTGCAGGTGGCATGCCAAATCTAATCCATTGATTGGCTGTGTCCTCATCTGAGATTAGGCGGTAGTTTGAGCCTCGGGTGTCTCGGAATGGTGATGGAGTCTTGGCTGCAATGGTTCCTTCGGACAATCCCTTCAGCACTCGTTGTGCAACGGTGATTCGGCTTCCTGAGAATTGTCCTACTGAGTTCAGATCATTGGTTTCGGTCATCTCGCTTTGTACAGAAGAAAGTTGTACGGACCGTAGGTCGCGTAACAACAACTCGAGCAACGGAAATAGTTGTACGGACCGTAGGACTCGTAACAACCAGTCGGAGTCGAATTCAGAAAGCGGTCGACACGAAAATGAAAAGTGCCACGAAGAAAGAACCGAAGTTGATGTCAATCTCGAAAGGCACCAGTGCAATAGCGATCGCTCGAACGAATGGTCAATGGCGTCGAGCTCTCGGGTAGCACAAACGGATGTTGCCACCGACTTGATTGGGTGACTGCGGACATTCTCGGAATCACGAGACATTTCAGCTTTCAGTTGTTCATCACATGCAAGAGGTTTCCAACGTTTCGTCACTTTGACGTTCACAAATGGACTGTTCCTGGTTACATGATCATTGATTCCATTCATGATGATCTTGGCTATCCACTTGGTGTACACTTGAGTAATGCGAGTTTCCCTACCGGCACATTCAACATGGTCATGACGGCGATCACATCTTCTATGAAGCTTCGGAAAAGACACCCCCCACGTAACAATCTTCCATGGTTTCTTGATTGGTTTGGGAGTTTCTTGGAACTGTGATTTCAAGCCATACATGCATCCATCAAATTTGTGCTCATGAGATACGGTTCCTTCCACAAGGTCAGTCATTCTACGGTCCTTCCAATAGTCACAACCTCTAGGCAACTCAAGCAAGGCTGGTGATCCCATATTGATAAGTTCACTTAGCACTGATGCGAACACTTCCCACATCGCCCAGAAGATCTGCTTCTTTGCTTCGATGAGTTGTGTCGTTGCTTCGCTTACCCATCGGTTGATTCGGTTCCATGGTGAACCTCCTGTACATGGACCTGCAAAGAACACTGAATCGAGTTTGGTCCGAAGGCATCGCCTTGCTTTGCTGATTCCGTACGGAGAGAGCATGTCGTCATCTTCAGTGATTGGTACGACATGAAACTTCATTTCGTCCTTCATTTTGTTCTGCAAGAACGTAAACCAGTTTCTCTCTTCCGAACATAACAAGACGAAGCATGGGACTGCTCGAGGAACTTCGATCAAATTGATTGCAAGGGAAAACTTTGCATACTTTGATGTCATCAAGTCACAAGGTGATTTGGAAAATTGAAATTCCAAAGTTCTGTTTTTCTTTTCTCTCCAAAGGATTACCGACACTTTGGGATGGTCAACCTCATGTTTGCCTACTTCAATGTGATATTGATAAGGGACAAAAACATCAGTGACGGGGATAGTATTCAAGTCATTGCAATTGGTGCAGAGCGTGATTACTCCCTGACTCACTTTACAGTTCTTATCTCCACCGATCACTTCGGCATTGGCGAGCACCTTGAATGTCGATTTTCCTGTCCAAAATTCATTCAACTTGTTTGTTGATTCATGATTGTCGCCCTTGAATCTCCATATGTCTTTGATCACTCGAGTGTTAGTTTTGAACTTTTGTTCAGTTTCCCTCTCATCACATATGATCCTAGGGTCACAGGGACAGTCTTCGCAATCCTGTGGTACAAAGTTCTGCCGTCTCGGCGTTTTGTGAATTCGGATCAATGTCTCTTTCCCATCCCACTGCCAATGGTCTTCATTTTTCTTATCTAACACTTGGGATTTTCGAGTGGATTTTACATGCGGAATATTATCATTGATGTCTGATTCCGGATGCTTATGACATAAGCCAGGTGTTGAAGTGGACTGTGGATGCCCCTTGTCACTGTGCGAATGCCATCCTTCACCCTCACTCCCCCCATGAACAAGGCGCATAAGCGTATTGATCACACGTGTGGCTGGCTGAAGGCACTGGTGAATGGATTTCGGGTGTTGAGACGGTGATGTCTGTGCATCTAAAAACAAGGCATCAACCGAGAACATCAGCATTGGTGAATCGGTCGGATGCTGTACACGGTCGTGTGGTGTTGACGCACACGAGTCACGTAGTGATCTCGAGTGGGCAGGCGGGGCATGCACGTGCTTTGACGACATCACCCGGTGGGTCGAAGTCGTTGAAACGGATTGTGAAACAGTGTCCGGGATCAACGGCTGCTTGTTGGGCGAATGATACTGAAAACACGCTCGTTCAACCCACTTATCAAATCTGATAGCCTGCTCTGGTGGAGAAGCACGGTGTTCGACCTTTGTCCATGCACCATTGAGAAGAACCCATGTGGATCTCAACACATCTGGCGGCACGATCAAGCCGGGTGGCTTAGGACGATAAAACACCGGTTGTTTGACGACAAAAATGGGATCCATACCTGGCAAGTATTGCAGCTTCTCTTTACTAGTCAAACCTTTCCTATACACTTCTTTCGGCAAGATAGGGGTTTCTGTGTATGGGAAGTTCGGGATATCCTCAGTCTTTGATTGGAAAACTTGGCGAGTAGTCATATCGACATCGGTGCTTGGCTGCAACATGTCCAATACTTCTTTACTCTGCAAGTCCTGAGGCTCCAACAAGTTGATTAGCATACAAGCTTTCTTCCATGCCATGGGATTCTTGAACCCTTTTGTATGGATATCTGCTGCCATTTTGGCTGTAATTTCATAGATCAATACAAAATGATCCTTTTGGAAATGTTCATGCATGGAGGCAATGGAAATACCATGTGTGCGCTCCAAATGACGCATGGTTGGGTTCCGTCCTGATCTGACAACACCAATCATACCTTGATTATCGTCATGAAACAGGAGTTGAGGAAAAACTTTGGCTAAGACTTTCCACAGACTTAATGCGGGGATTCCTAGAGTCCTAAGTGCAGTATCTGCAGCCACAATTTCAGCTTCGGGGGTTGAATGACTAACACACCCTTGTCGCTTACTTCCACCAGCAAGTGGGAATCTTGTGGACTTCCTTGGACTTGTAAGTGCGATCCTGAAGTTGATCTCAAGGATTGGGCACATCCAGCGAAATCCGCATCTGCAAATAGTCCTAACGATAAATCTTCAATTTTGTCTCCGACCCATCCTATCATTTTAAGGGACAATGTGGAATTAACATAACACATTAGGTGATGAAGACGGGCGTCATCATCCTTTGTCCATTTGGTCACATTACGTGCCAATGCATTGATGGATCTCAAAAGGTCAAACCGCGCAATGCGGGCTGCATACAGCAGCTTCATAAGCACACTAGCTGCATGCGGAGCTAGATTCCCTCGGCTCAGTGTCTCACTGTCTTGGCCAGGACGTGAGTTGCCAGTCTCGGAGAGAGCAGGCATCTCTGGATCGAAGGAATGTGCACACCAAGGACACTCAACTTTGCATTTTCCATCGGAAGGAGCTCGATATGGGCTGCTTTTCGTTTCCTCTGGAAGGCTTGGAGTTGATACCTTTTTCAATTTTGTGTCCTTACCAATGATGTCAAGATACTTTTCCACCGATAACTTTAACAATCCTTCCATGTTATAAGTTATGGTCTTGACTTTCTTACCATTATGTAACTGGGTCTCACCTTGGGATAAAACACACCCTAAGTAAAGTCCCAGGTCGGTTTCGGGTTCAATGCGCAGAACTGTGCGCAACATTTCCCAACCTTTGGCCAGATTTTCGGAGGGCCCAGCAAGCTTAAGATCATCCACATAGATTACCAACAGCAATTTGAGCTCATCATGAAAATACATAGAAGGCCATTCCTCTCCAATGGGTTTAAAACCAATTTCTTGAACTTTCTTGTCACAATGTTGTTCCCACATCGTGCCTGAGTCGGGATGTCCATACAGAGCTTTGTCGAGTCTTACAACAGGGCGACGAAACTTCCAGTACTGTATCTCAGGAGGCCATGCATCAGTGGGTAATTCCACCCAACACAAAGGTCCTTTCAACTTGGCCTGGATGTATGCCTGAATCGCATCTGCAAGCTTGACTGCATGTCCGGGAAGACATCCGTAGAAATCAGCCCATCGTGAGGCTTCGAAGGAAGCAGGGGAATTTCCCAAATCTTGAAAGAATGCTGCCTCCCAATGTTGATTCTTCACCTGGTTGCCTAGTAGAACGCCTCTTCCCTTGAACTTTCGACCAGGATTGTCCTCGGACAATTGGTAATTCTTTTCGACACATATGCCATGGACTCTGGCCATATGAACTTCTTTCTTGTTCTTCTTGGCCTCTGCGACAACATCATCATATTCACGAACCATTGTAAAGTCGAATACTTCTTGATCACGAAGACCTTTCCACTCCTTGAGCATTGCCTCTTTAGCCCTTGGATTGGACTCAATTTCAGCTCTGCCAACAGGTCGTGAAACCATGGCATTGAAGAGCTTACTTCCAAGGCCTCCATGTGGTATCTTGGTTCGGCGACTTTGATTGGATGCAGAAGTACACGGCATAGTTGGGAATGCAATGTATTCATCGTCATCAGTGGCTATGTTCTTCACGTCCTTGACATTGACACACTTGCCATTCTTGATCATTGTCGATTCGCCTGGCGTAGCCAAGGAGAATCTCGAAATCTCACCTGACAATGTGCTCCAAACTTCACCACTCCACGATGCTTTTGGGCCACGTCCTCTCTCGACCTCCGACCATTCATCCCATTCAGTGAGATATTCCTCATCGTCCGGGACATCAGTAGAAGCATCGGAACATGGACTAGCATCAGCATTCCTCTTCACTTTTCGACAATCAATGTAGCGTTTTCCATGGACATCGTCGTCATCGACTATGTCATATAGGTCAAGATATGTACTTGTACATGTGATAGGTAACGTGACTTTGTTCTTCACAACTTCACCAACACCTGCATCGGATTTCTTTGACTTTGAATGAGAATCACCCTTCTTACTTTCATCACCTCCTTCATCGTCCTTGGACTTTGGCTCGTCCTTGTCTTTCTTTGAATCTTTCTTCTCCTTCTTCAATGCTTTCTTCTTCTTTTCTTCGACCAATCTTTTGGCTTTGTCATCGGCCTCTTTCTTCTCCAACTTCTTCTTCTCGGATTTGAGGATGGTGTTCCGGTCAGATTGAGAGAGTTTGCGCCATTCTTCGGGAGAGTAGGTCCCTTTGGGACGCAATGACGTTTTGAACATTCGTCTACCGTCATCTCCAATCTTGTATGGGTAACCCTTGACGTTCAACTTGACCTTCTCACCATCATCGTTGAGGTATACCTTCCCATCTCCAGCTTTGCCCGACTTCCAATGATCCGGTTGGGTGTCGATGAGTTCCTGGAGAGTCATCTCTTCTGGATCTTTATCCTTGTCGAAGATATCCTCTGAGTCATCAAGAGGCTTCTTTGAAACTTTTCCACCACTTGGTCCAGGTCCACCGTCATCTCCGTCATCAAGCTCATCATCGTCTTCATCATGGTCTTGTTCTTCATCATCTCCATGAGGTACTCTGGAAGGATCGCCATCGAGGAGTTCTCTCTCTTTCATTCCTTCCAAGGTAGTGTTCACCCTTTCATACTCTTGCTTGCATGGAAATGTCAATGGGGTAACCATCTCGACCTTTTCAGTCAAATGAGGTTTGAGAAGACGGTGTTCAGGTTTGCTAGCATCGTCACCAAGATTCTGATGTACGAATTCACTCAGGGGCCATACTTTGTATTGTCTTGACCAATGCATCCCTGGACCAATGTGATATCCTGCAAACACTCCTGGAATAGAGTCAGGTCCAAACTTGTGAAGTTGTCCAGCTTCTCTGGTCTTCGGAGGTTTGTAGTTCACACGAGCACCATAGGGAATGAGTTTGCCAGCAAAATCAGATCCATGGAGTTTGCACCAAGCGCTCAATTCATCATCGTTGGGTTCTACGTTGAGTAGATGACATACACAAAGGATTGCTGTTCTCCAGAAACAAGGTGGTAATCCAGCTTCCAACAGACATGTAGAAGTAGCTGTGAGGATAAATTGGTTTGTCCTTTCGGCAATTGAATTGGTTTGAGGTCTCCCAGGCAACGAATGATCAATTGGTATCTTCATCTCATTCATAGCTTCAATGAATTGAGGAGCATGATCAGAGTAGGCCTGTCTGACCTTCTTGGCGCCGATGAACTGTTTCACTGCTCTGACTACATCGTCTTTGGTCATTCTGTCAGATGGATAAGCACCAATGATTCCTGTAAAACAGTCTCTGACAACCAACACTTCCTTCTCGAGGACCAATACGTCATCATGGACTTTGGATGTGTCCACCGCATCAAAGGTAATGAGGTCGCCAAACTTCTTGAGTTCCCTTTTGTATGCACCACGACGAGTCTTGAAGTGCTTCATCTTTGCACGAATGCATGAGTCGCAATATGGATTCTTGTATCTGTGGGTCAATTTGTGATTCAAGCTATTAGCTTCTCTCTTGAGTGTTCCCCTTTTGGCTACCCTGGATTCACCTTCGACAACATCGATCTCAATGTCATCTTCATCACCTTCAGCGGCGTCTTCAGGAGCACCATGACCATCATCTTCAAAGTCGGTCTCGTCACCGGGAGGTCCGTCATACGGAGTTCCGGGTTCATATTCGCCATCTTCAGGTGGTTCTTCCTCTTCTCCAAGAGTTGCCGCATGTTTTCGCCGGTTCGTTGCTCTTCTCTTCTTCTTCTTTTTGAGCTTCTTGACGTGTCGGGAACAATTGTGATCCTCAGCCAATGTCTCAAGACCACTTTCTCCATCGAGATAGATTCTTCGTGAGGGTTGACCTACATCATCTATGTCATTGAATTCGCTGAATTCATCTTGAGCATGTGCCAGTAGGTCATTGATCTTCGATGCATGATGGCATTCATGAGGAGTGCACTCGTATGTTCCAAGATCAACATAGGGGATGTTGTCATGGATTGTCAGGTCGATGCGTTCTCCATCCTTCGTAATCATGAAAGGCATTTGACCAGATGGCCATACAAAGGAGTATCCTTCTTCCATGCATCGTTTCCCAAGAGACATCACAGATGGAGTGTCGTCCAATACATAAGCATGGGATGTCACATCAAAGGTTCCCAGGTCAATCTCCGCTTCTGTTTGAGTAGCAGTTGAACCGTTGGCGGTGTGGAACATGATCGGATCACAAGTTCGTTGCTTCAAGTTCATCCTTTCGGCTTTCCTTGCGGAGATCAAGTCGTGTCCGCTGCCAGAATCCAGGATGAATCTACGATCTTTGGCTTGTACTGGTAATGAAATGCACATCATATTCTTGGACGTCATGAGGGATTTTCCAACTTCATGCTCAACAAGCTCTTCAACAAAAGTCAAGTCATCGTGATCATCGTCCAGTTTGATCAACATGTCGAACTTGGGGCCAATGATGATTCTAACTTCATCAACGAAACGATGGAGTCCACATCTATCCATGATGATAGCCTTGGCCCGTGCTCGGACTAAACCGAGGGTGTTGTCGGACTTGGACTGATCATCGGTCAAATCATCGATCTTCCAGAAGACATATTGCTTGTTGGGATCACGATAAGTACGCTTTGGTAATCCCTCCTGGTAGTTCTCAGTGACAATCTCGTGCACTTCAGGTTCCAGTTCAAATGAGATCCTGCGAACATCAGAAGACTTCTTTGCGCTGGCTATCCTCGGTGAGGTATAATCCATGGCGTCTTCATTGTCGCTATCAAAGAAGGAATCAATGGTAATGGGAGTCGCTTTCTTCTTTGGCGTCTTCTTGTTGGTCTTTTCTGATGATGCTGAAGGCGATTGTTCTGCATGTAGGAATTTACATTTGTTTCCGAATGTGCAGGTACCCTTTTGCCAATTCCAACATATCTTCTTTTTGGATCCAACCGAAGATGAACTTCCTCTACTTTTCCCTCTTGATGAATCTCGACTTCCGCTTCTACCTTTCTTACCTTTCATCTTGGCATCATAGACTTTCTGAGAATGACTGTAAAGACACTTGTCACCTTTGTTGCATCCTCCCTTATTGAAGAAGTAATTGCAGAAAATCTTCTTCTTGTCAACGGGTGAAGATGATCTCCCCTTCCCACCTTTGCCTTTCTTGTTGTTCTTGTCGGCATGGGATTTCGGAGAAGGTGTTGGGAGTACTGATGCAGCTTCACTCTTCGCCTTTGCTTTAGGTCGCTTGGGAGGATCACCTGTAGACGATGCAGCTGCTTCATTCTCCTTCTTGGTCTTGATGGGAGCAGCAGGCTTGTCCGCATCTTCCAGAGCAGGTGTTGTCTTGTTAGAGGACAATGACAGTTTCACTGCACGTTCTCTATCTTTCAACAGTCGTTCTTGCTTTCCTCGTGCTATGTATCCTTTGATCATACCGGTCAGGGATGCATAAGTCTTTTCAGGATGCCCTTCATCATAGGTACGGTATCGGCTGATATCAAAAGACATAAGTTTTGAATGTTCAATCTTCCGGAACAATGTGTCACGCAGGGAATTTGCAGAAGGCAGATCATCATGTTTCATGTTGTATATGATATCAAGCCACTTGTTGTAGAAGGCCTCAAGTTGGTCATCTCCATAGTAGTTGAACATGTATAAATGATGGGCGTTGTAGAGAACTTCAGTATGGTCAGGTGACTTGAAGCTAATCAATACCATTGCGAATAGTTCTCGTCCCTTGATGAAGTCCCCACTCCTCCCATACATTTGGTTCTTCATGGACATGTCATACTTCACTTGCATGGACTTGTCCCCAGCATTGTCAATGACTTTCCTCAAGGCATTGGAGAGCTTGGCATCAATGGATTGGAATCTCACATCGGGTGCTTTGGCCAGGGCCTCCAAGTCTGGTTGGTCCGCAAGACACGGAGCTAGCCATGCTTTCCAATCTTCATAGTTTCGATCTCCACTTGCAACACAAACTTCATGAACGACACTTCCCTTCCAGGATGAAAGTTCAGTGGTCTTGGGCCAAGGTTGGAGATTGATCTTTTCGGCTTCCCTTAGGGATACGGACGACTTAGATCTATCCTTCTCAAGGTTCTCCAACTCCTTGACATTGGTGTTGTACTCGTTCCTGAGCTTCTCGAAGGCTTCAGCTTCTGCTCGGTATTCCTGCTCTTCATCGTTGGCACGATCTTCAGCTTGAGAGAAGTTGTTCTTATAGTAATCTTTCCGATCTTCCATCTTCCTTAAGTCATCTTGAAGATTTCGAACTTCAGCGTTCCTCTCTTGCTTCATCTCGTCCAACTCTGCTTTCAGTTTGGCGCACTTCTCTTCACAATCATTTCGAGGCATAGCATTGCTGGGGTACCCAAGTAACGCAGCCGGTTTGTTCGATGATGAAGACGAAGCAGCTTGGTTTTCTAGCCTCAGGGCAGCAATGGTGCTCGACATCTCTTCTACTTCGGCGAAACGTTCACTAGCCAATTGGTGCATCTCGGTCAAGTGGCTTTCAGGAATGGAATAGTCAGTCGCTCCTTTGATCACGAGTCTTCTATCGTTCAACATCTTGATGGACTGGCCTGCATCCCTGTGAGCACGCTCAAGAGAATCCTTTTGGGCTTCAATTTCAGTATGAAGGCGAGCAATGGCTGTATCCCTGTCATTGATTTCATTGTGCAAACTGTCGAACAAGTTACTCGTCACATTCGGATTGTTACTCATGTGATCGATCTTGTCCAGAGCATCTTGGTATTTCTTACCAGTTTCATCGAAATGTTTCTGAAAGGTCTTGAGCAGGTTCTCAGTGTCAATGAGTTCAGTTCTGTTTTGCAAGTACAACTTGTCAACTTCAGCCTTGGATTCCTTTAAGCTGTCACGTTCACGTACAGCTTGCATGTACATTTCATGTAGTAATCCTCCATGCGGTGATCTGCTTGGCGAGGATCTTCTGGCTTGTTGACAGGAAAGTTCATGATACTGATTCTTCGATTCAGTCAGTTGATGTCGCATTCGATCTAAAAGGCTTTGTTTCATGTGTAGTTCCGAACGTAGTCCCATTATCCTCATGTCCCGCATGCCACTTGATTCAGCTAGAGATTCTTCCGAAACCTTGCTCTCAGAAGTCACTAGTCGAGATTGTAAGTTCTCATTGTGAATCACCTGCAATCGAAGTTGTGATTCCTCCAAAGCTAAATGATGTTCACATTCTGCATAACGGTCATGTTCAGATCTTATGTTACTACGGAACTCCTTCATGATCTCGTCCCTCTTCATGTCAGCAGCATCGAGCTCAGTTTCCAGTCGTCTAACATTCATGGACATGGTGTGCTTCATAGTCTGGTTCTGATTGGCAACCTCGAGCATCTCGATCTGTAAAGCACATGTCTGGTCGTTAGCATATCCGACCGCCAGAGCTTCTTGCTTTGCGTTCATCTCTGCGTTTTCTAATTCCAGTCTGAGTTGATTGATGTGAGCATTCGCATCAGCGCCCACATGTACCATAATTGCGTTCGCTTGTCCCATTTGTTCATTGAATTCCGAACGTAGTTGCGAATATCTAAATTCCAAATGAGATGCAGCTTCATTCGACATAGTCTGATACCTCTCCAACTCTTCGATCCTGTAGGTTGCACCTTCATCTTCTTGTTGTGCAGCCTGTAACTCAAAGTTCAGCATCTGGAGTTGTTCAGTCATCGACATCATCTCTTGATGAGTGGTGCTTTCCAGGAAATTAAATTGTTGATAGGCATATGCAGCCGTCTCAGTCAATCTTGCCTGAAGTACGGATTCTTCTTCAGTAGCCTTTTCCAGTGATGTCTTGTATTCAGTTAATTCGCTCTGATAGGCAGTGAAGATGTCGCTACCACTTGACGGGGCATTCACTTGTTGATAAGATCCTATCCCTGATGGTGTAGCGTCCTGAATCGGTGAAGGCGGATTCGATGAGGTAGGCCTTGCCTTAGTCCTTGGAGTCATCGGAGGCGACGATTGTCGGGTAGATGATCTTCTCTTTCCAGGTGTGCCGTCCCTATCTTCAATTGCTTGCATTGTCGAAATTTGTCTCCCTCTAGGAGCAACCAGAGGTCGTCTGGGTAGGCTTGGTCTCAGTTCTGAGGTTTCGCTTCCACCAGTGTCGATACTCTGTGAAGAATTTGACTGCGTGCCGGCAGCTGGTGCAACGGCATGTCCAGAGAAAGAAAATGCGTTATCGCTGCTATCCTGTTCAGTCATCTGTAAGGTCCGTGGCTACCCGCTCGTAGGCTCCGTAGGAGTCCTACGGCTGATAACCTGTGAATCGGAGGTTCTTTCTCCGATATGTCCTTTTGGTGGGTATTGTGTTACTCAGTCTTCACACACACGACGACGACAGGATTGCAACTTCGGCATGTAAGTCCTTTTCACGGGAACCTGCAGTTTGGGTGACTTGAGCCAAAGGGAGCAACGAATGTGTCCCCTTGGCAGTGGAAATGTAAGGACTATGTACGTGGGAACATATTCATGTCGTAGCCTAGTTCCCATTCGCAATATATACATGTGTTTAAAGATAGTTATATACATATATATATATGTATACATATATATGTATACATATATATATATACATATATATATATACATATATATATATACATATGTATATATATATACATATGTATATATATATGTATATTATATAGATATTTGTTACTGTGAATGTGTGATGTATAAGATACAAGCTTGAATCTTCAGGAACCTCTTAAGTGAGCTTCCTCACCGTCTGCCTTTCGCACTAAAAAGACGACGGCGTTTCGGTTTTTCATGTTTTTTCGGCGTTTAAGTGCGGCTGAGTTTCTCTGTCACCATTCATCCAATGAAAACCAGCAGGTAAGAAATTCAAGCCAGGAACCAGCTCCGCGACGCGTGTAACAGCTCCGTCTGGGCCAAAGAGTTTTTGCAAACTGTAGCCTCGGGCACGTTCTGCTGCCACATCATCACCCGAATGGCGGTGAATGGCCACGATTCCATCACTGACCAATGGGATGTGCTCCAATGCTTTTGTCACATAACCATGCCTTCCAATGGGATCTCGTTCTCGTGCACGCTGCAAAGATTCATCATCCTCTCCAGCTTGGTGCACTGTTTGCATGATGGAATTGATCACTGGCACATACTCCAAAGAATGCACTAGGATGCCATCTCGTCCCAAGGGATCAGACTTTCTCGCCCTTTCCAAGGCTTCTTGGTTGCCTGCCAACTCATGTAAAAGCTGTATGCCACTGGAGACCAAGGGAATGTGCTCTCCAAATCTGGCCAGAGCCCCATCGGAACTCACCAAGGTATCCGTGTCTTCCCCAAAATTCTCGTACATTTCAGGCTCAAAGTGATCAAAACTCACCGAGTGGGGGAACAAACTCTCCAGGGCAAGCGTTTCTCTGCTTGCCGACATTCCGGGTTCAGGGCTCCATGGCTGCACCATGGTTCAGGTCCTTTTAGGCTATCGATGAGTATCATGTAAGGTATACGTTGTGTATACGTTCAGCTGGGGATCCCGGGGATGGGGACACAAAAGGCGACCTTTTTTTGCTGCTCACTTTGCATCCGTTGTGCAAGTCGTGTCTCAACTCTTGAGCACCCAGGGCATCAAACAGGACAAGATGATGTCAAAATCAATGGATTGGATTTGGGGAAAATCTTAACCGGAAACCATGGTATTTTTACCATCAAATTGATCGGGGTGTCCGGTTAAAATTTTCCCATCATCCAATTCTGTGTCAAAAATCCGCAGGTGGCAAAAGTCTATGGACCCAATGGGAGGTTAGTGACCAAAATTCTCGGGTCTGAATGGATCTGGCATTTGGTTGTGTCTAAAAATGGGGCAAAATCCTTTTTTACGGCGGTTCTTCGTGAGGAAAAGATTGAATATCAACATATATATATATATATACATATATAAGTTTAATGATGATTTATGATGATTTTTCCCGAACTCTTTACTTTTTTGACCCGTCCGCCATGGCTCGCCATGGCGAGCCCTGCGGCGAGACCCATGCCAGGCGGACCAAGGGACCATCCGTGTCGGCGCCCCGATAGACCTATGCTGGGGATGGTGACTGAATGGCGAAATAACAAAGATATATATATATACACACACACAACATCTCGTATAATATACAATGATACTATTTTTTTAATGAACTTAATGCTGCTTAGGATATTGGTTCTTGTATCAAGCTCGTGAAGAGGGGTCAATATGGTGATTTCATGAGGATGCTTGTGGTGATGTACTAGCAAGGTACAATCCCACGATCATGTTGAATACCCTTCAATCCTAGGGATAGGTGAGTAGATCCAATACTAAACCATGATTTTGGGAATATTTCATAGTAGCGGGATAGGTTGTTTGGATGTGTCTCTACTGACTTGAAACCTTCTTAGCAGTGAAACTATATCATGAAGTATCAAATCATTGCGAATGAATGCTGAATACTGGTTGGTGGTATACCTACCCCTCTGAAAAATATGAGTTCGTCAGTTGGGATGATTCTTCCCTATATGGAAAAATAAAACATGCGTTCATTTTGAATTGCGTCCCACCCTCCCACCAGTTGCAAGTGTGCATCTTCTTTTGCTTGGTGTCGAAGCTCAGTTTGAGCTGCATCCTTCATTGACTATGTCATTTTTGGGTCACAACAAATTTTGTGACTCCATCTGTAAGAAGTCTGCCAGGTTGTGCCCCTCGTCCAACTTTTGTGGGTGGGACTAAAAGGGATGGGAAAACAAAAGTTGTATCTGGCCTATGTTTGGGCCAGACTCCAACAGTCAAGTCCCTCCCTCCACCCTTTTCTGAATTCACTTTATGTTTGTCACAGCATGTTGCTGTTCTCAAACATGCGTTCATTTTGAATTGCGTCCCACCCTCCCACCAGTTGCAAGTGTGCATCTTCTTTTGCTTGGTGTCGAAGCTCAGTTTGAGCTGCATCCTTCATTGACTATGTCATTTTTGGGTCACAACAAATTTTGTGACTCCATCTGTAAGAAGTCTGCCAGGTTGTGCCCCTCTCTGACTTTGTCGCGGATCTTCATCACCTCCGTGCATTTTTTGCATTTCGTTTGGTTGAAGATGAGGGATGCGTTCATCGACACCTTGTCCGGGTTCTTAGTGAAGTTCCATCCGCAGGCTGTGCTCCATTCCGACATGTTGATCTGCCAACCTGCTTTTGAAACTCTGTGCCATGTCTTTTTGCCCTTTCTGCTATCCGTCGATGCCACCCACAAACTCTGTCTCATGGGTCTGACTTCGTCGGTTTCCTTCGCAACTGGTTCTGCAGGAGGTACAGGACACATTCTAGCCATTGGTGTCATGGGTGCCCTTGCCGATGGTGTCTGAGCGCTTGGTAACGGTGTCCAGGGTGCCCCTGCATAACAGGCTTCCATCGCGTTCTTGTCTGACACCACGTTTTTGTTTGTGGGCACTTCTTGTAGAGCATCATTGGCGTAAGTCAGCACTACTGCTGACTTCCATCTGCCCAAGAATGCCAATTCTTGGATCTGTAATCCTCTTCTTACATGTTCCATGGCTCCGCTTCTACGTGCTGAATGTCCGGATACCCTGCAGCACGTTGCTGTATTCCACAATTCAATCATCTTGTTCTTGCTCCGCTTCTCCATGTTGTTGCCTACAAAGACGAAGCCCTTCCTTTTGAATTTACGTGGGCACTCCCTTCCAATTCTTTCCCATAACCTCCATGCGCAGAAGCGAGAACAGGTGTCCTCCCCACAGCATTGAAGCGTCCTTTTCAGACCGGCTGCTGTCTGATCCATCTTTGAGATCGGAATTGTCAGAGTTACCTGCCGTGATTGTTCATCAGCACGTACATGTTCCCATTTGCACGCTCCAGCTTCTATCTCACGCAACATCCAAACACATGCCCAAGCGTAAGCCACTGCTGGATTGATGCCACCGTTGAACTCCGAGCCATGCCTGTTCCAACAATCCTCACTAATGTTTTCCAATCTTGCCTCAGCAGCTCTTTTGGCGGGTCCTTTGTTTCTGGTCAATGCCTTCTTGCATAGACTCAGAGTCCTGACCAGCCATGGTGGTAAATCGTAGCCCTCCTCCACGTGTAGAAGTTTTAACTCATTCAGGTATTGGTCACCTGATTTCATTCCCGAGCTCTTCAAACACGCAGCTACCCCTTCTACCACCTCTTGAGACAATGGCAACGGGTCTCTTTGCCTGCCCGCTACCAATCTCGCCAGCCTCAAAACTTCGCTTCTCTTGATTTCCCTTGCCGACTTTGAGGATGCGGCCCAAAAGTTGCCCGTCAGCTCGTTCTTGGCCTTCAAGAGCTCCACTGCTGAAGCTGCTATTTGACAAGCTGCTCCCATGTATCCTTTTGCTCCTCCTCGTTCTTGTTCTTGCCCTGCAGGCGGTGCTTGGTTGCGCTTTCCATCGGCTTGCCATTTTCTGCAAACCTTCAGAAACTTCTTCTTCACCTTGGGCACGTTAAACCTCACTCCATTTCCTCGGCTTTCTCCTAAGTTCTTCAGCTGTTCTCCATAGAACTTGCCCACTTTTGCCTTTGCTCCAGGTGTTGGACTACTGGCAAAGCTCTGACCACCATGTCTTGCAAAATGGCCTCCTTGCCCTTCCTCTTGTGCGTGGAATACACTGTGACCTCCTTTTCCAAGTAAGGCTGACATTCCTCCCTTTGATTGCGTCTTTTGGGGCTGCCAATGGTACTTGGAGGTGTGCATAAGACAGTTTGCGTCGATGCCTCTGCCCTTTCCTTTTCCCCCGCCCAACTCCTCCTGCCTCTGGGCCACCGCGGGGAAGCTTCTCGGGTCAGCCAACGGCAACATGACATTGACATGGTGCAGCAGGTGAGCAGCGCTGATAGCCATCCAAACAGCACTAGCACCGCACCAAACGACCATGCGTCGTCTTCTATCAGTGCAGTTTCAACTGTCTGCACCTCCATACTGCCTTTGAACCCTGGCATGAAAAAGGCTGCGGATGCAAACAAATAAACAAACAAAGCAAACGGCAAATGGACAGACCTTTGACCTCAAACCTGGTTATCGAATCCCGTAAAACTCAAACCGATCGCCCCCCCCAAGGCTGAGAAAGACCAGGTCTTCCATTTTGCCAGCCTCGGACGATCACAGCTCATCAAACGCTGTGGACACCACTTTTGATGTCTGGCCCCACCTCAGCGCCTCCGACGCTCCTGGCGGGGCCAAAGCTGATGTCATCAGGCTACTTTTTGGGAACTGCCGCAACGGAACACCTTTTAGACGCTCCGGCAGCTCCCCTCTCTCATGCGGCCTGCTGAGCCAGTCTGCCTCTTGGTTCCAGCTGCCCGGGATGTGTTGCGCACTGAAGCGGCCCAGCTGAAGTTCTTCGGCTCTAAGAGCCAGCTCAGCCCCTATCCAATTGAGGACCGGTGATGGTGCCGCCGTCTTTCTGATGGTTGCCAGCGCCACGACGCTGTCTGATCGAATCAAGATTGAGCACCCCCGCAAACGGTGCTTCCATTTCTTCAAAGCCATCAGCACCGCCCAAGCTTCAAGAGGTCCTTGACCAGATGGCGCCTTCCATTCGATTCCCATCCACTTCGCAATGTCCTCCGTGACTGGTATCTCCAGCGCCTCCAGTGGCACCAACTGCTTGCTGCCCTTGTCGATATCCGCCAGTATCGCTCCAACCCCTTGTGGTGAAGCGTCCGTGATCAATGCAAACGTGGGATGTACTGCGTAAAGTGGTTCTCGCCTCACCGCAAATTTGTCTGGCTTTTCAAACATCGCCAGAAACCACTGACGAGGCAGCTCCATGCGATGCACAGCAACCATATGTGGTTTGGGTCTTGTGTCATCCCTCCTTTTGGCTCTCTCCTCCTCCAAGCTGACGTCCTTCAGCGTCTGGGTGATGACCGCATAGAGGATGTTGACACACCACCGCGCTCTGGTGATGATTCCACAAATCCAACTGAGCTTGCCCGTCACTGCCCGCACCTCACGTACTGGCACCATTCCCTTGTTGTTCCACCCTGTGAGCGTCTTTGTCACCTCGTTCATCATCTTGGGCGGGATGGACAAGACCAGCACTTCTTCAGCAAGTCGAAGTTCCATCCTCGTGCCGATCCACACCGCATCCAATCCTCTGAAGCCTTTCTTGAACTGCAGCTTCACCCCCAACGCCCCGCACATATACAAGATGAGCGCCAAGTTCTCCTGACGCCTCCATTTCGGCCCTTGCATCATCCACAGCGGGTCGTCCATGTAGAGCTGAGACTGCATCTCGTCCGGCGGGATGAGGGCTTGCAACATTCTTGCCAGCATGGATGCAAACCTACCCATGATGAGTGGCGCTCCTCGAAACCCGAAGAGCATGGCGGTGAACACCAGGTACTTGCCAGGGTGCATGCTTGGGGTCACGCAGTTCCCCAACTCTCTTTCAGCCACCGCTAGATGGCAGTATGCGTCTGCCAAGTCGGCTGACACCAGCTCAATGTCCTGGCACTGGTCCGCGTCTGGCCACTCTTCCCTCTGAGCTCGTAGCATGACACTGAACCTTTGCTCTCTCAGGTACTTCAGGCTGTCCATCACGTCTTGCACTCGAGGGAGAACTATGCGTTCTCTAATTTTGCACCTGCTGTTGCCCCCGCTTCGTAGGAGGTCAATGATGATGCGCCTCTTGATGGACCCATCTTCCTTCTCCTTGAGGATCAAGGCCAACTTTGAGATAGTTCCAGTGGGGAACTGTCGTCTCAAATCCATCTCATCCACCTCCATGCAGAAGCCTTTCTTCAGGTATCTTTCGATCTCATGCATGGCGTGCTCCGGCTCTTCTTTGAAGCTCTTGTAGTTCTCTGCCCCAAGCTGTGCTTCAATGTCCGGCATGCCTTCTACTTCAGGAAGTTCTTCATCTGTCATGGGAAAAATTCCGCAATACGGGATGTCTTCAGCCATGCCCAGAGGTGCCCCTTCTCGGATCCACTGAACCAGATCCCGCTCTGGATCTCCTGAGAATTTGCGCCATCCTTTCCAGAGCTTCGAGTTGAGTGGGGAGACAAACCTCCCTGGTTCCTTCAAGATGATGTCCTCAAACTCCTTCACTTTGAGGAAGCTCTCAATCTCTTTTCTCCAACACTCCAACGCCTCTGGGTCCAGCTCGCAGTTCTCACTGCCATAGCTTTCTGCTGTTTCGATGACCTTCGGGTTGTCCTTGACAAAACGCGTCCAAAGCCTTCGAACATCACGTCCAGCCTCGGCAAGTTTGGTCAACCTAGATACTGCCTTGGCAGGGTTTCTCATACCTCCAACAAAATGCTGGTTTTCTTGTTCTTTTCTACGCTTCTTCGATGGCCCTTCTGTTGGACCCTTGTCGTTCTCCACATCATCTGCCAACCATGCCCTTTTTGACGACGACAAATCTACCATCGTCACAGGCGGTAGCTGCTTCTTCATCTTGCTCGCGATCCAGTTCTTCTGCGCCGCTGAAACCTCTTCACTCTTCATTCTAAGTTGGTGCCTCCACCATTCCATCTGCATCGTCACTTTAAAAGCCTTGACAACCAGCTTCGCATAGGCTTTTGCCAGCTCCTGAGGGTATTCTGCTGCCTTAGCCGTCAAGTGCTTTCCAACGAGCGCTTGATGTTTCACCCAGCTTGGGCAAGTGCATTTCCTTGTCAAAGTGCTCAACTCTGCCAGGCAGCCAGTCATCCTACCAGGCTTGAACCACTTGTACTTCTCCTTGGCCTGGTATGCGCACGTGTTGAACAGCGCCGTCGTCGCATTGAGCTTCTCCTCAAACTCTTTGAGTTCAGGAAGCTCCCATGCAGGGCCCTCCTCCTTGGTGTCCGAGCCCGGTGGGTTCTCCAGTGTCCCCACCGTGGGAACTGCCCTCTTTCTCTGTGACGTCACTATCTCCGCCACCACCATGGTTGATCTCACTGCCAAGACCGTGCCTCGATCTGCTTCGGCCTGTTGACGCCTATCGTTCGACGCCAATCCATAAATTTCCAAGCCTGATCTGACTGGTCCAGGCCCTTCTCCACTTGAATTGAGCCTTGCCCTCGAAAAGCTACTGCAAGGGAAACCTGCATGACCTCCGTCATAGTCCTGGTTCTTCGACTTGTTCAAGATGGTTTCAAAAGGCTCTGATTTGACCAGATCGTGGCTACTATCTATCAACTTGTCATAGGATTCCACATCTATGCCCAAGCCCTCTGCCTCGCACTGCGCCTTGAGCTCCTCTGCCAAAACGTCTCTTGGCCCTGAAAACAAGTGCACAAACCGAAAACGTCTCAGCAACTTGTACTGCGAAAAGTCCCGGGCTTCATCCAGACACTTTTGCACCCTTTCAGGTACTTCCGCATCCGCCCCGTGCGCAGCACTCGCCGAGGACGCCCGGCCAGTTGACGGTTCGCTCATCTCGAGCCACCGCACTCTCACAAAACCAATCCACAAAGTTCAAAAAAGGGAAAAAAAAACACTCAAATGAAACCAAACATCAACTTGCAAATCAAATCCCCTCCCCCGTTCCGAAAAACCTCAACAGGGCTCCAAAGTCCATTGCCTATCAGCAACGGCGAAACCCAAGTTTTTCCACGAGGAATCAGCTCACTTCTTCGGACACTGAGCATTCGTGTGCCCTGGGGAGAAACACAACATGCATTTGTGAGTCCTTTTGACTTTTGATTTACATTCACTTCCTGGACTCAAACCAGCGCACGGCCCACTGTCCTTTGCCCAGGAAAAGCAAATTTCATCTCCAGCTTGGTCACGTCCAGAGCCTTTGCCTTTTCCTTTCGATGTCCCCCCACCTCCTTTGCTTGAGCTGGGGGCACTCCTCAAACGTTGTAACTCTTCTCGCTCTGCTTGCTGTCTCTTTCTCTTTGCAACCCTCTTGTCCCTGTTCGCTTGCCTTCTGCGATCATCTCTTTCGCCGCCCCCTGTGGCTTCAATGTCATGCCCTTCAACGAGTCCAGGAAAGTGAGCTGCAGCCAATGCCTCAGCTGATGCCATCGGAATTCCACGTCCCCCTGAGGCTAGCCAGGCCGTGGCAGGATGCCTAACCTGTTCGCTCCAATAACCTTCATCTTGGGCAAGAAGTCTAAAGCACACTGACCAAGGCTTCTCCTCTTTGAAGTCGGATGGAATCTGTCTTCCCTCCTTCAAATCCATAACCAAATTTCTTCTGATCCTCTCCAATCTCTCCGCTCTTGCCTTGTCATCTGCATGGGCAATCAAATCCCAGTTCCTGGGCCACTGCACTGTCAGCCTTTCTATCAGCTTCTCATAGCCCAGGAGCGCCGCCAGAGAGCAGATGTCCAAGCTCAGAGCTGCCACACGAAAGACCTTCCAACTGGCTTGCCATTGCAAAAAGTTGGCTGGTCCTGGAAGTCCTTCGCCATGTATGTCCCGTCACCCACCGGGAAGAAGGTCCTCAGTTTCTGATTTTTCAAAGCTCTCCTCCCAAACGGCAGCCACACCCCCATATCTACGTAAGGTGCATGACCCATCTGGTTCACCCTCTTGTCCAATGCTGCCATCTGCGCATCAGTTGGTTCTTCTTCTTCGTTGGGCATGTCCCCCATCAACTGCAAGTACCTTTGGTTCCAGGCGCTAACCGTCAGCATGTCCGGGGGCATCAGTTCTGAGTCATCCGTCTGATCCAAAAGGTTCGACATCTTCAAAACCTTCTCCTTCAGCCCATTACTTTTCCCTGCTGGTGCTGGTACTTGACCTTGAGCAGGACCATTGCTATTAGGCTCCCATGGGTCCACGTCCACAAAGTTCTCAATGGGTCCTCCCTTCAGGAGATACATCTTGAACCTTGCCACTCGCCACATCAGCCCCACATGTGCGGCCTCCACCGCTGACAAGCCGTTGCCAGCTAATTGAGCTTGTCCAATCCCTTGTACTACAACATGTGCAGGTAAAGCTGCTAGAACTCTCAAATCCGTGCCTGGGTTTCCCACCTGTTCACAAAAGGCCTCCCATAACGTCGGAGGGAGACGAAGTAGCCGTGCAGCCTCGGCTATGTTGCCCAAATCTCGCACCTCATCTTCGGAGGGTAGCAAGGACATGGCCGCACGCGAGTGAACGTACGGAAAACAAAAGTTGTATCTGGCCTATGTTTGGGCCAGACTCCAACAGTCAAGTCCCTCCCTCCACCCTTTTCTGAATTCACTTTATGTTTGTCACAGCATGTTGCTGTTCTCAAAAATGTTTCAAACTACCAATCAGAATATGTCTTAATATACCATTTTTTTGCCTTGGTGACAAACCACACCTGATCCTCATACTTCTTGGTGATATCTCACTGTCTCAGTTTGTCTGAAGATTGGTTACCCCATGTTACCTGTGCTTTGGCTGTAGCCATTTCAGACAGACCCATCATTTAAAAAAAAGTTGGCGAGTTGTTCCCAAGATCGCCAATATTCCTTTAAAAATTGCTGGTGATATCACCATTTCTCCATGTTTTTGTGCTTTTTTGCCCATCATTCAATCACTCTGATCCATCATAAAATCCGCGAAAATATCGCCTCCTGGGCTTCGACGGTCTCATCTTCCTGTGGAGATTTCGTGTCAAAAATCATGGATTTTTTGTGGTGAAAAATCAATCTGTTGATTAAAATGAAGTCATTAAGCTCAATGGCTATAAATGGGTGAATTCAGAATTATAGAAAAATTATATCAGAATGATTTATGATTTTTTCTTCCTTGCCAACAATGGGGTGTCTACCCCAACATATGCATCTTTTAAGGGGGAAAGTCAGAAAGTCAGCTGTGGGATTTGAGGGAAGCCTATTTTCAGACAAACTCACACCGTCTTTGATGTAGGAAATCTTCGCTGTGACAAGACACTGGCTATTTGGGCTTGGAGGTAACTATCGTGGCCATGTGGCCGTCATCGTGCCTCATCTGCTGCTAGATAGCATTCAAAGCCACCAACCTGCTCAAGCAATGCAACCGGCATCGTTTAAGACTGCAAGGTAAAGGGAAACACTCAAAATATTTCAAAGCTGTGCTCAGTGCTCCTTCAAAATTTTCTGGCACTCAAATAATTCAAAGGTTCCTAAAGTGTTTCCAACCAGGTACCTCTTCACTGGCCCATGCTTCCATTGCAGCAGTGCTTGCCTCGCCCTGGCAGCTTTTTGGACTTGGTGAGAAAACATTGCCATCTCCAATTTTCATATCACTGACCCCTTCTTAAAAGGGGTGCCTTCTTAACGCCTCCTCGTTGCGCAATGTTCTAAGTTGTATAATTTGGGTGTGTCTGAAAATAGTGTACCTCTTTTTACCCAATGGTTTTGCTGATCATTATCCCGTTTTTAAATGGCTATTTCATTGGGAATATTAACCCAACATTTTCAGACAAACCCATTTGTACATCTTTTTTGGGTCACCCCAGGTCACCCAGGTCGGGGAATCCCAACAATTCCAGGGCGATGGCTGCGACGCGTGCCTCACTTCCCATCGCAAAGCACAGGATAGCATCCAGATCTGCCTGCCAGCGAATGTGCCATCGCTTCGCACAGAATGAAAAAGGTGTGCCCTAGAAAACAGAATAGACAGGTAATAAAGCAACATCAGAATCTTCACAAATATTCAGAATGTATGATGAAGAAATATAACCGTGATTCTATAAATTGCCAAGATACACAAAGTAACTCAGTAGTAGGGATTGCCCTTTTGTAGCTTTTCCATCATTTTCGCCGACCCCTATCCTTTTCAGCTCCAGTTTTTTCCGTGCCTCATCAGTATCTTGAGCACCTCTGGCTGCCACTGTGTAGTCCAAGCCGGGGCGAAAGCGTCGAACCTGCGGCCTGCCATCATTCTTTGGATCCAGGCCTGTACAGGCCTCGGCAGACGGGCCTGCCAGACCCTTCCATAATTTGTTGCCATCAGGTACCATCTGTTACCCTCTGGTAAACTAACATAGCTATGGAAAATCACCATTTTATAGCTGGGTAAATCAACTATTTCTATGGGCCATTTCCAATAGCTACGCAACAAATTACCAGAGGGTACCCAATCCCATCAGCTGAACGGTGTGAAGCTAGGCCCCAGCTTTCAACCAGCGAAGGAAAGTCTCACCTGGGTGCAACAACTGCAGCGAAGGCGGTATCAAATCACCGGGGGGTCTGTGTCTAGGGGAGTAGCCCTAAATCCAGCAGTATATTTACCCTCTGGTTATGACTAACATAGCCATGGTATAGATGGCCCATAGAAATAGATGGTTTACCTATAAAAAAAGGTGATTTTCCATATGGCTATGTTAAATAACCAGAGGGTAATCATGTTGTCCCCAAATGATCATAAATTTGGCAAACCCCTGGAGGTAAGTTGTGCACTGGCAAACAGCTCTCCAGCTACATCCGACAAGCCGCGGCCAAGCCTTGCGCAGCTCTGAAAAATCAACCGGAAACAAGCTATCAGCCCATCAGATTCATTCCCAAAACTTCACTGGTTGGTGGTATACCTACCATCTTGAAAAATGATGGAGTTCGTCAATGGGGTTGGGATGACATACCAATCATACCATATATGAAATGGAAAAGAAACATTTCAAAAATGTTCCAGTCACCACCAAGCAGTTCAAGTTACTTCCCCCAAATCATCCCCAGCTGCTGTCAAGAATTGCTTGGGAAATGGTCGAGAACTTCGCCTGCCATGAGGCGACTCCGCTTGGAAGCCGCTGCAGAAGCGCCTTGGGCATACGGAAAACTGCCAAGTGAAGAAATCCAGATATCAATGGGATCAATCTCAGTTCATATTGAGTTTGTAAGTGTATGTATATATATATATCTTATGTCGGTGCTTGTATAATAGTTTAAAATCTGGAATGCCCATCTATCCAGTTGCTGTCGTTCCGTCCCTCTGTCGTTCCGGTTCGTCATCTTGGTGAGTCTTAGCTGAGAGCAAGAATCGCCGAAGGTGAGGAGGACCCACCAATTCCTGAAGCATCTGCCGACCCAAAGAGGACCTCCCCATCTCGAACAGCTGATCCAACAAAGTCTTCAACAGGTGCCCATCTTAATGGGCAACAGGATTTTTGTCTTTTCAAAGAATTTGAGCATCAGCTGCAGATTTGCATCGTCTTGGAATTTGCCCACAAGACCATCATCATGTTAGACCATTGTTAGTTGTTAGACCATTATGGATTGTCATTGCTGTCATTGCTGTCATTCATCATTTTTCCATGTTTGAATGCCAAGGATCCGACCCAACCATCTTGGACACCGCTGGTATAGCAAGGCACTGGAAGCTCCTCTGCATCTGGTTGGAATCCTCGATCCAAAAAAAAAGGAGTGAAGAAAAATATGGAAACCACATTCAAAGACTCGGAATCATGGAATTAAGATGGTTTAAGATGATTTAAGATGATTTAAGAGCATCTCATCAAAATCTCGGTCACCCTACCATCAGCTCTGTCAAGTTCTTCGAGTTCCCGTGCTAGTCTTTGAGCAACGTCTTCTCGAAGAAACTGGTCGTGAAAAGATTCCAATGGTGTCATAAACAATGTATTGGTTTAAGTTTAAGGGAAAATCTACAGGAATCCATGGCTTGTCCCTTGGAATATGTATATACATATATATATATATACAATTTGTATGAGCTTATATATATATATATAGGAGGTTTCCTGCCAATTTTCTCTCAAACCATGCCGTCGACACAAAAAAAAATGAGACTGAAAAACATCAGACTCGACAGTCGTCCAGTCGCAACGACAGTCAGCCTCTGTGAGCACTGCATATGAGCTTTCCTCAAACTGCTTTCGAACTGCCTGAAAAGGAGGCTTTGATTTGCTTTCCTCTCAGAGAATGCTTGGATGAAGAGTGCAGGAATCAGATACCCTCTGGTAAACTAACATAACTATGGAAAATCACCATTTTCAATGGGTAAATCCACTATAAATGGCCAAATTCAATAGCTATGTAACAAATTACCAGAGGGTAATATCCATTACATCGTGATCGGATTTTCCCAGCGAGACTAGCTGATTGCACGGTACCTGGGCGCGTGAAACGGGAAACGAACTCTGTGAGTTGCTCTGGGGCGCTCCCCGAAGCTCCTTTGGAAACTCCCGGGCGTCGCCCCTCAGAGCAATCTGCAGCAACACCCAACAATGAAAGATATCAAACATGTCAACAAATGTCAACAAATGGCAACAAATGGCAACAAATGGCAACACAATGTCCCAATTTGTCAAAATCCACATGATCTTTTCCCTAAAACCATCCATGGATTTATTACTGTAGCCAGTTTCGATAACGTGCCGACAAGAAAAAACCAGCAGGCTGTGTCGCTCGGCCCTGGCGGAGTGTCACGGCAGCTACGGCTCTAACCCAGCAATCGTTCGATCCAATCCTGGCGAGTACATGTTCCATGGGTCATTAAATGTCCCCATGGGTCACATCACCCAACCATTAGGTATATGGTCAACCACATGGCTACTATTTCAGGTGATGTCCAATATACCCAAAATGGGACATTTACCAATCCCTGCTGTTCAGGTGCCTAATCCAAGTACATTTTCAGGTGCCTGATCTCACAACCGTAGCGGGGGCTCCTTGTTGGCAACATTGCACATGGATTGGGCCTTCACGCCAGTGATGACGTTGAGGCCGTCGTTTCTCAGCCAGATCGGGGTTTTCTGGGGTTTCAAACCCTGGCCCATTCAGGGAGCATAGCCCCAAAATTAACAAGACAGTATTGCCTCCAAAGCATTTCGAAACTTCAACGAATCAAATTCAGTCTGCAGCGAATCCGATTGATCATCAAGCTAAACATTTAAACATACCCAAATCCTTCACTTCTTCAGTGGTGCAGAACCATTCTTGAACCTTTACGTAAAGTCAAAATGGCTGAGTTTCTTAAAACGGGGGTACCCCGGATCAAGAAACCTATGGTGACTTGTGGATCCCGTTTTCTGAAACCCCAATTGTTCTTCTCAGTGCATGGCTTGTAAAAGCCAGGTTCTCCTGGCAATCGGCATGCTGAGTGCCCTCTCTGACCATATAGCCTCATGGCGAGGGCCAAATCCGAAAGATCAGATCCGTATATCGAGGGCTTCTGGAAAAGGGAACTCTACATCTATGTATGTATTGTGTGTATGTATATATATATATGTATGTATGTATGTATGTATGTATGTATGTGTGTGTATATGTGTGTGTGTTATCATGCTGAAGTAGGTAGAATATGGGATTTTCAAACATGTTCCCGTTTTAGTGATGTTTTTTTTTTGAAATGCCTATATATATGCTATCTACTGCAGGATGACATAATATGAATATGTATTATATATGTGCGCCTGGCTGAATTACAATAATTCACCAACCTGAAAGAAGGTCATGTGGGGATAGTTGCCCTACTAATCATCATTCTAATGACGTCGCAGTGAGGTCGTTCTAATTCAGCCAGACATATGGATCCATTTTAAATATAAAACCTATGGAACCGTGTAATACGAGCACAGTATGGATGAAGAACCACAGAAGCAATCAGCACAGGATGAACAGATTGAACGATCGGCTTGGAAAATGTCATTTATCATATATCCACATATAATGTATATCATATACTATATATATATTATGTGTATATATGTAAGATACAGCCATTCTCAGCATCCCACCGTGAGAACGATGTGTCAGACACCGGCAACGGAAATCGGGTGGCGATCTTAAACTCGCCAGCCTTAGGCAGATCGGGTGCCGTCAGACGTGTCGTTGCCGTTGAAAAAACTGGGCACCCAAAAATGGGGGAATACCCAAAAATGGATGGTTTATATAACGGAAAATCCCATGAAAATTGATAATTTTATAGGTACCATTCCAGAAAAAACCTCCATCTAGATGTTTCTGAAACCCATCTTTGAAAAAAAACACTGTGGTTTCCGTTGGTCGGACGAAAGGCCTTTCGCGGGTCGCCATAGAACTTGCCATACTCCCTGAGAGAATTGGAATCTTTAGTGATGTCAGTTGCGAAGAAAGTGAAACTCAATCTTTTGAGGACAGGACGAGTTTGGCTTTTTGTATATGCCTCAGCTCAGGTTTTCTGGTAAATAGAATGCAGTAAAAGATCTCCAAATATCTGTTGATGCATTAGAAAGAAACAAAAACACCTACTTCGGGCTGAGTTGCATTTTGCTCCAGCAGATTGGAGCGCATGACCTGCTGATCAGCTGAAAATCCAGAAACCAGCACACCGTTCGCAGGAAAAAAAGCAACCGCGCACATCCTGGCTCGGCGCAGCTCGCCCCCAGCTTTTCCTGGGCTTCACATGCGCTGGAGGCTGATCACAGGCCGGAAAAAGCTGAGGCTCTGAGTTACGCTTTGTTTTCGCCACCGTGCTGTGTACCGCTGGGTGAAACAGTTACGGCTTGTGGCCCTGATCTTGTGCTGCAAGCCTTTGAACTACGGTGCCAAACTACTGTCCAGGTTGAAAATGGTGCGTGCGTCTTTGCAGTGGAATGAGTCATCGAAACAGATCCTATCAACTAGCATCTGAATAAATGTACATATTTAACGGAATATAAATGATTATAAATATATAAACTTCCTATCATTCATCCCTTTTGACGGGATCACAAGGCTGCAGCATCAAACTTCCCTGTCTGCTGCAGGGAGACTTGCACCAAGCGGATTGGCAGGTGCTTGGCCCTTGCACAAGCACCGAGGGTCTCGAAGTGAAACTCGTGTCAGCTTCAATGGAAAAGTCTCCTGAATAAATTGTTGAAATATGTTGCCGTAACTTTTGCTGGAAAAAAAAAACATAAACTTCGAGAACCTAAGCTGAGCTCGGCAAAACGTCGCACTTTGGAGATGCCTAACAACACAAAATACGGCACAGGTGCGTAAGAACTGCCTAGGTCAACCAATCCTCTTCTTGATCTCTGCCTTCTGCTTCGTGATACGTGCCTGGTCCCGATCAACACTGTCCGCAATCTCAGGGAGGAGCTCATTGTGATGGCCCAAGGTACGATTGATCTGCTGACTTTTCACCAAAAGACCTTCCAGCATATTGTCAATCTGTTCATAGGCCTTTTCATTTGGATCCCTCAAATCTGGCCGTTGCTGTTGCTGCGATTGAGCTGCTGCCGCTGCCGTCGAGTTTCTGGCCGCCCGCCGTGCAGCGTCATCGGCCAAGAGCCGCGCAGCACCGCGGCTGCCCTCGGGATATCCTCCAGGCGCCGGCGCCGGCGGCGCCGGCTGCGCGGGTGCCTTGCTGTCCTTGCCGTCGGAAGCCAAAGCTGCCGGAGCTGAGGAAGCTGAAGCGGAGGAAGCTGAAGCTGAAGCGGAGCTGACGGGATCTTTGCGGAAGATGTTCCTGACCCATCCCCAGGGCTTCAAACTCCGAAGCAACCACTCTGATTGATCCAGATTGTGGTGGATGGCATCAGCATCAGCCTTGATCCTGTGCAGCTGCTCCGTCTGTCCATGCAGCGTGGTCAGGACCCGATCCGTGGTGTCGTCCGCTTCCGCCAAGGACTTCACCGTGCTGGCCAACAGCTCTGCCTCGGTGCGGGTGTCCTTCTTCAGGGCCGAAGCCTTGTCACCGTAGCTCATGGCTCCAACCGGGCAAATCTGTGCCTAGAAACCTTGAGTCAAAACAGCTCTGGAAACATGGAAGAACATGTTCATCTCAAGATCATGACTATGACAATAAACAGCAGAAGGCGTTGTGTCTTCCTCAAATTCCTTCAGGCATCTGATTGGAACTTGTCCATTCCCATCTTCAGTTTCACAAAATTGCAGGATTCCAATTCTGGATTCTAGCTGAAAAAATAGTATCCCCAATGAACCAGGTGGTTTGTGACCCCTTTTTTTACGACCAATCAACGGGGTTTTTTGTGTTATGCCTTGGAGCCAAGATGCCCAATTCAATCTGCGCGTTGCATCGGAGCCGAGGTTAGGCAACGAAGCACTGCGAGAGGAGAGTCCTGCCGAACCGCGATGAGCCGCTGGGTGATTTCCAAGGCACCCAGGTTTCACCAGGTTTCACCCACATGTCACCAATCGTTCATGCACAACACCGAGATCAAAAAACATGGAAAAAAAACATGAAAAAAAAACACCCTGGAATGTCTCCAAGAAAGCTTTGCAAATCTGATATCTTTTGATATTTCAAGATATTTCAAGTTTCCATTTGTCCAAGCAGAAACCGTGATGCTGGACACGCTCAGTCAATTGCACCCTGTTACCCTCATTGGTGGATGGTCAAGGTCACCTTCCGACTCAACGGTCCTGTTCCAGACATCGCCTGCCGGCCGTGCAAAGCACTCATCCACATGGGGGTTTCCATAGTCATGGGGCTACCCCTTTATCGCTGGATGGTTTTAATACGGGAAATCCTATTGAAATGGATGATAACTAGGGGTACCCCCATTTATGGAAACCTCCAAATCGACTGATGTCAGTTTTTGGGCCGAGCTGCATCCTCCTATGCACATTCTCTGTACCGTTTGATCATGTTTGATTCCCTTCATTCCCGGCAGCCCAGCAAGTTGCCGCACCTCAATGCTGCACAGGCGCTAGGGCACAAAGAGCAAGCAGCTCCCAATTTGAGCCAATGTGCGCGGCAAAAAACATCTCTGATCCTTCAGCCAGAGAACCTAGTCTGCCCAAAAAAAGCTAGACATGATACCAGCCATCGCAAGAAGAACCGCCGTTGCCAAAGCCTCCAGCTGTTCTGGATCCAGGTAGGCTGGCGAAATCCACTTTGACAACACCTGGAAAGCCATGTCGGATCATTCGTCTATTCGTATATCTTGCAAAACGTCTTTGGAACCCTGCAGCCAAGCTCATTTTGAATTACAAAAGCATGGAACAAATCTAGAAGTACTTCAGCAATGCGGAGAAATGCAAAGAAAATGTCGACAGTTTGATCATGTTCAGCTGGTCATGATTGACTATGTTCAACTCTCAGGTCTTGGCTTTGAAGTCATCTTGGGTCACTTCACCCACTTCGATGGCTCCGTTGACTGCATTGACTTTATTGCTTCCCGCTCCATTGCGAGTTTCGAGGATTTGCTGTAGAGTGGCCAACCTTTCCAACTCAGAGTGGCCAACGCAGAGCCAAGAATCTGCCCGGTCCCGGACTCATGGCATCTGCGAAATTCTGCGAAATTCTGCGAATCTGAACAATAAACTGAGCCGCAAGCCCGCGTTTCTGGTAGTTCAAGGTCTGTTCCAAGCCTGTACAGCTACCCATGCTACACATGCTAAGCCTTTAAGCTGCTACAATCCTGATGTGACCAATCCCACAGGATCCCACAGGGTGCCGTGCTTGGTGCATGGAGCCATCCCTGTAAGGAGACCCGCGCCCTGTCGCCTCGCACCTGGCTGAGCCAATTTTCTCCGATCCGACCCATCCCCGAGCGATTCCGACCAGGTGCCTCTCGGACAGCATGGTAGGAGACACCTGGCCTGGAAAACTCGTGTCATAGGTGAAAAACCAGAGAAAACACAAAGGGGAACTGAAAAATCTGAAAACACAGCCTGATGGGAATCTGAGATCTGTGCTCAACCAAAAAAATGGCTAGGGAATCTGCCAGTGGAAGTAGCTCCCTGGGTGACATCTTGAATAGATCTCAGATCTGTCACATATGGCATTAAAATGCATTAAATATCTTCTTTGTCTGGGCACACGGCTTCAAAATCATCTTCGATCGGCCACGATTCTGAAAGTTCTTCGCAAATGCCAGCGGCTGCCAGGGGTCTAAGCCTCAAACTTCGTTGGGACGCTCATAGGCTGGCCTTCCCGAAACGCAACGATCGGACATCCAACATCAATCAACATCAGCTCAGGCGTGTAGAATCCAAATCAACTGTTGGTACGGGTCAAAACTGGGGAAATTCACTGGTTGAGACACAAAAAGGCCAGAATCTGCATCTTTTACCAACAGCCAGTATGTTGATCGTGAAGCCCAAAAGCCAGAAGAATAGCTGAGGCACACATCCTTTTTCAGAGCAGAATCGGCATTTTGGATACGCTGCTCCTTCCATGCCCACGGCTTTTCTGCCAGAAGATGCAGTCTGGTACCTGATCTTCAGAATGCGTGGCCTCATTGGGTTGCATCAAATGTTCCAGCAGTTTGGATAGCCCTTCATCAGGACCATCAGAATCAGGACCATCAGGACCCAGATTCTGGTGTTTTGGTGTCTCCACCTGAGCCTCTTTGTGCTCCATCTGTGAATGTGTGGTATGTGGGGTCGCCTCGAAAAAAACCTCTCTGCCACTGTCCATCTTGACATACGGCTGGAAAGGCTTGTCCACATCGTCTTTGCCGCTTCCGCTAGCGGGTTCAGGAGCAGGTTCTGATGCTTCTGTACATTTTAAAAGCGAAATCGATCGATCTCCACAAAGGGAGAAATCTTCACCACCCTCAGCATGGTCGGTCTCGGCATCTCCCACAGATCTTGCATGCGGTCCTTGCTGTCCAACCGTTAAAGAACTCTCCAGACATGCCAGACCACTTCCAACGGGGCATTGATCAGTTCCGGCATGCCAGTGCGACTGCCTTGAAGCGCACGTGCAAGGCAACAAATGTAACACATGTTCAACAGTCGCTGTCAGTCGCTGTCAATTTCCAACACACATAATCATCATCATCATCATCATCATAATCATCATCATCATATTTCATTTTTTCAATCATCATAATATATCATAATCATCATATCTCGCCTGTTCTTTCTTTGCCAATGAGCGTTATCCTGCGCTTTGTCCTCCCAGATCCTCTCCAGAGCATTGGACTCCTGGAATGGGGGAAAGCACTTCATTCTTACGCTCTGGTAATTTGTTACATGGCAGTGTGTCAAAACCTTGTACCCCTGGTGAACATCAAAATAGCTGGGATTTATGGATGTTCATCCCCCTAAAAATGGTATTAATAGGTATTGATCCATAGCCACATAGCTATTGAAAATGGCCCATTTATAGATTCTTTACCTATTGAACATGGTGATTTTCAATAGCTATGTCTATGTTGAATTACCAGAGGGTAACACCAATGACACCCCAATGCATAAAAAATCCCTCTCTCTCCGACAAAAATGCAGAGTTCAGTCACCTAATATACTGTTAATAATATGGCTCTTATATGGGTATTATATAATAATTAACCATATAATAACCATATATTAACTATATCATTAACCATATGGTTAATGATACCCGGTTCCTGTGTGCTCTTATGCTCCCGTTGCGCGAAGAAGATTCGCAGCTTTGTGGTCGACATGGCTTGACCAAGAACCAAACCGGTGGGGCGCTCGGATAGCAGTAGGATAGCAGCATCGGAGTCATCGATCCATGACCCATTCCCTTTTTGAAAAATTTGGCCTGGTCCAAGTTGGTCAAAGTTGCTGAAAAAAAAAATCGTGCAAAAAGTCATGCATCAAAATCATCCACTACTATGGATCATCAGTCGATCACCTTCAAAGTCCGTTTCTGAAAGTTTCAGCTGGCCTGTTGAGGCCTCAGACCTCAAAGGCTGACTCGTTGACTTCGCCAAAGTGGTGCATTTCTCATCTCCATTCAATGATAGATTCATGTATGTATATATAATATTGTATATGTATATATAAAGATAGATTCATAGATCACTTCGTTCACTCAGATACACGAACATACACTAGCATATACCCAAACATACGATAACGTACATCCAAAGTCGCAAGTTCCTTCTAAAAATCCTTGACAAAGATCCAATCTTTTTTGATCCATCATGAGTGATTGTGAGCCACTGCTGGAGCTGAGTCGCGAATATAGCTCCAGGGCACCTCCTTCAGCTGGAGACCACTCCTGTTCTAGGGGGGCGGTGTGTCCAAAAATAGAAGATAAATAATGGATGTCATACGATTCAGCCCAATTCAGCCCCCAATTTACGGCAATTTTAATGGTACCTGACCCTGGCAGTGAGGAACAGGGGCAACGGAGACTCTTTTACGGCACGTAAAAGGGGCGCCAAAGATATAAATCAGTATACAAGAGTTGTCATTTAACTCTTGACCAGCTTGACATGCAGGTAGAAACGGAGGCAGTTAACTCAGTTGGAGCTCCAAAACTCAAGGCACCTAGCTTGGACAAGGACTTGTTGCCCTTTTCTTTGCAGCGTGGACAACCACGAGTTGAGCTCGTTGAGCCCCCGGTAACGCGGAATTCACTCAAAGGTCTTGATGCGTTCACCTGAGGTGGTGCACTTCTACTTTAGCACACCAATTTCACAAAATGCATCAAATGGATGTGGGTCAAAATGGAAGACCTAGGGGACCACAGATGTTAGTCTAGTTTAGTATTAACCATCCATAATTTTGGGGTACCTAATTTTGACCCATACCCAAATGCCAAGATGATCCAAGATGATCCAAGATGATCTAAGATACCTCAAATGCCAAGCACGCTGGATGCGCCGGATTGGAGCGGGCTTCGGCGATGTCTGCACCGACTGTACCGAGGAAAATCTCTGCGCTCCTGGAAAACATGTTCACGCAACAAGAAGTGATCAAAACGAAGGTTGGCGAAATTTGACGAGCAAGTGGAGTTTCGCAATCAAGAATCTCACTCCTTCCACATTCGGCCGGAACAGATGGCGTTGGCAACGGAGTTGTAGTTGACGTGACCAGAGGAGTCACCTTCCAGGGGGCAGGGGATGGCAGGGGCCACAGGCGGCACTACGGCAGCTCCAGATGTGTCCGGCCTTTTCGGTCCATTCAAACAGGGAGAACTTCGGCTGCAACTGACAGGAGCTGGGGCTGGTGAGCGCTGATGAGAGCTGGTAACAGCATATGGGCTACAGCACAGCTAGACCTTCAAATGTTGCGCAGGACATCCAGAATAGCATCCGGCAGGAGCAGCATCATCCACTTTGGGCAGTTGGATAAAACTCAGCTTCCAGATTCTGAAGAAGAAAAAGACAGCAGAAGTTGCATTTCTGATGCTTTTGGCTTCCCTATCATTCTGCACATCAATCAAGGCATGTGAACCAGAGTTCTGCCAAGATGCTCTGCTCTCTGTGATGTGATTCCTGTTGGGTATGAACCATCCGCCGCTTCTGGCATGTCCAAGCATCCTTTGGGAAGACCACCCCTGGAGCAAGTAGTTGGCAAAAATAGTGCTGAACTAGACTAGAGATGACTAGTGACTAGCTATCTCAAGAAGATGAAATGGAAGATCAACTATAAAATCATACCTGATATACATACATATATATATATTCAAATTATCCATGTCAACCGTTTTACGGTTGATATTAAAAGTATTCCAACGCTTTCTTCAAAAAATCCGATGGGAATTCCACCAAAATCGCTCGCCTGCTGGTCACTTTGGCCCAGGCTGGACAGCCACGACGCTTGCCCATGGCTGGTGAATGTTGACCCGCAATGGGATGACTGGTGATGTGAGGATATGGGGATGGGTCAAAACCCTGGTACCTAGTGAACCCCAAAATAGCTGGGATTTATGGATGTTCATCCCACTAAAAATGTATCTATAGGTATTGACCCATACCCATATCATGTTCCTTCAGAAATTCTTGGACTTTCATAATCCACAATTCATCAACAAGACCAACAAGTTGATTCTGATAGGGTTTTTATATGTTTTTATCCTCCAAAGCCATCAATTTCATGGGGTCATCTATGATAGCGTAGCCTGCACAGGATTTGTCTTATCCAGATTTCTGCTCCTAAAATATCCCAAGTAGACCCAAAATCTCTGCAATGGCCGGCTGGGCCCGAATGGGGCAAGGAAACACAGCAGCAATGGCAGCAATGGCAGCAGAAAATTCCAGGATCTCCTCTTCAGGATCTGTCATGTAGTAGATGAAAGACACCTGGCAGAACTTGCTGGGGATATCCGGGATAACTGTGTGTCACAACAGTGTTGATTAGTCCAGAAAAAAATCATGAATACATCCTTTGCACAGTGATCATTGAGACATCCTGTACATCCGATGACGCTCCCATCTCCCTTTTTTCGCATCGCCAAGAGGTCGGAAACTTGTCAATTGCACTGCATGCAGACAGTTTCAGCTCTATTTTTTCAACCAGAACCATCAGCCGTGTAGGTCTTCATGCAACGCTTCATAAAATCTCAGCACCTCTTCAGGAGGGCTCGGACTCACTCAATAGGTCAAGTTGGTTGAGCTGATGTATACTAGAGACCACTGGAGACCATCTTCTGTGCACTACCAGTACTACTGACCACTGTGTACAGCATTATACTTTCGACATGCAACGACCTTTTGAGGCAAAGCCGCGGTCTCAAGAGTGAGAAAGCAGTCTCAAATGTGAGAAACTCAAAGGTCACCAAGACTGCCATTGAGTTGAAAAATCGTTGCTGCGTTTTTGCCCTCCTCGCAGACTGGCGGGCTCTGGCATTCGCCTCTCACCTCAGTCACAGTCACGAGTGCACATCTTCTGAAGATGAGGAGGAGGATATGAGGATACTCGGCTACCGGGCTACCGCACCCAAATCTGCAAGTGGCGTTCGCGGCAATAAATGCTGTTGGTATGCGGCCATCTAGGCCTTTCCAGCCACTGCCAAACTGATGCAACACTGGCAACTGCTTACCCCAAAAATTCAGTGATTGCATTGGTGATTTATCCTCAATGTCACATTGAAACTGATATGTGATGCCTTGAATGTGTCCCATTTCAGACACACCCAGCTAGGAGGCCTTCACTGTCTTCTCCTGATGAAGCCAGGTTTTGGCCTCCTGCAGCTCTGCCTGCCACCGGAAATGGGGCACCCCACATTTTGATGGCTAAAAATTGCAACGAATTGGGGGTAAAACCACCATGCACTCTTTCTCAGACACGCCCAAATACCATTAATCAATGATTTGTGTATGTATATGCATAGTAAATATATATGTATATATATATATATATGCAGATCTATGTATATATATATATATATATTATATATATATTTATATTGCATACCCTTAAATCTCCTGTGATATTCCCAAAAGATCCCACATTTTAGATCTGCCCACATTTTCCAAGGCATTTGCCTCGCCTTCAACTCTTTCATCTCGGCTCGCATGGCTTCAAGCTCCGCCTTGGAGCGTTTCACCTGCTGCGGCTGCCAGTGCCACAGCGGCCGAATGGATTCGAATCGGTATACTGTGGGATATGATATTATGTATGTATATATTATGTATTTATGTATGTATGCATGCATGCACGCATGCATGGATGTATGTATGTCTGTATGTCTGTATGTATGCATGTATGCATGTCTGTATGTCTGTATGTATGTATGTAGGTAGGTATGTCTGTATGTATGTATATATACTAATATATACATATATCGTGTATATACGTGTGTATGTATATATATATATATATGTGTATGTATGTACATACATACTAACGCACATACTAATACAATGGCGATATAACCAGCAATAATCGTGATATAACGATATAACCAGTAATAATGTGGATTTGATGTGATTTTTATAGGAATTTTGGTTCCCCAAGTTCTGACCGCTTTAGTGGAGGGGAAAGGGTGATTTCGCGGTGGCCTGGCTGTCAGCCTTGATCTGTGCGGCTTCTGCCTGGTCTTTCATGTTATTCAGCTCCAGTATTGCCTGGGTCGGGGGGTCAAGTTGCTTCACCCAAAAGGCCGCTTGAAAAAATCCAAGGCTCTGGGTGTACCCAGAAATAGGTTGCTTCCTGTGGATTCCGAAAAAGAAAAGTGGCCTATAGCTATTAATAGGTAGATTTCCTTCAGTCCATGCCACTAAATGACACAAAATGACAGCCCTTTTTTAAGATCTCACAACATTTCGGGCCTTGTCACGTTCATTTTCAGCAGCCTTTTGGGCTGCCCATTGCTCAGAGTTTTTGGCCTCGAAAGCGACACCAAAAAAACCAACCAGCCCGACGTTCGACACAGCACGGGCCTTGATCACTGCACCAGCTTCCTTCATTGTGCTCACCTGTCGGAACAAAAGAAGATATTCTAGGTCTGAGAATTCCAAAATCGGAGCTTCAAAATGTGAGGTGCCTGTTTTTTGATCATGTCACATCTGCAGTACGGAAATGATCTTTCGCGATTCAAGGCTTTTCAAGTCTCGAGAAAAAAAAGACTGATTACCTGACAGATTGCACGATGAGTATGAACATTATGAACGCTGGAGCCGCACCTGCTTAGCCAGCTCTTGATTTTCTGCCCTCAGGGCATCGTTGTCCGACTGGCACAGGCGGCTTTCTCGGTTTTCCAAGTCAGGTCGTGATGAATCCGTGCGTGACAAAAGGATTTGATCAGATTGGATGCCTGCACTGCCGACAGTCGCATTGTGAGATCTTCCACCTCGTCCTGAAGGACTTTGTGAGTGACCTGATCCAGAGCCACCACTGGCAGCGATGACAAAAGATGACTAGTCGACTAGGGATGGCCTCTTGGTCTGACAAACAGCGCTCCAAATCTTTCGAAGCTTTGCAGGCTTCCTCCAGCTTCCTTGCCATTCGATTCCTTGCGAAACTTCGCAGGAACGCACAGCGAATTTTCGCCAATGTCAAATCTCAGTCCGGGTTCCCATGCTAAGCCGCTAAGCCAAGAGTCTCTTCCACACCCAGAAGGTTTCTCAAACCTGCCTTCATCAGTAGAATGTCATAATCCTCATGAGACAACTCCTCCAGAGATGTGGTTCTGATTCTGGTTCAAGAGCTTGCACAACAAAATGCTGGCATTTGAAAGAGAAAAAAAACAAAGAACCAAACATCAAAACAACAGCAGCTAATAGCAGCTACGGCTTGTGTTGATTCCCACAATGGGCACCAAAACACAGAGGATCTCTCCTCGCTTTTGGCACCCTGCTTTCGTGCCAGACGACTTGAGCCTCTTGAGCCTTTGCTTCCAGCAGAGAGAACTCCCACCAGACCCAGCACAAAGCCGCACTCCCTGAAGCTCTGCCGATTGAAAAACCTGAACAACGGATGTACAACGGAGTACAACGGTCAGTGACGATTCATGTCTATGTATCGATACGCAGGATCTGTACATGCGAAAAAACAAGTGTAGAAATCTGTACATATCCCATGATGGGTCACTGGTGATCATTCGTGCATGATTGCCATCACACTCTTGTGAACAAGTGGTCCACCTCGCGCTTTGAGCTGGCTTTGGAACTGGCGAAGAGGGAACAACCTCAAGGGTCACAGGGGTCCAATGGCTCTTGGCTTCTGAAAGAAGTGAAACCGCCACATGCAGAACTTGCGATTAGCACAAATGCCAGCAAGGTACTGTTACAGCTGGGGAGCAAAACGCAAGCATGGCTCAGAAGGCTTCCTGCTCACTTTTCCTTTGAAACTAGAGCCAAAGCCAGCGAGCACATGCTTTGGCACCGATGCAGAAGGATGAAATCGGATGAAAGGCTGTTCCATGTACATCATGGCCAATGCATGGCCAATGCATGGCCAATGCCAGAAATTCCAAAGGCCGAAATCTTGGTGCAGCACCTTTCGAGTGCCAATCACATCATCATGACAGAGGAGATGAGAGCCTTTTGCGTAGACCTGGCCAAAGAAAAGCCATTCGAGCAGTGTTCAAAACCCTAAAATATCAAAAGTATCATCCCTCTATACTGGTTTATGAGAGGGCTTCCCACAAGAGGTCATGAAAAATAGTTCCTAAGCCACTTAGTATATCCCCCGACACAAATCAACCATGGCTGTCGGTTGCGCAACCTGCCTGCGTTGCAAGGTCAACGCGATCGCAAAGCTCCCCACACGTTGTGACCTTGGCGATGGGCCATGGCAGCCATGGTGAACTGCGAATCGCAATGGAGAGCTATCTCCCCAAACATCATTCAATGATATTACCAGTGGGTTATAATCCACTAATGATGTTTTGTTTCTCACCAATAGATTAGTTATAATCCACATATAAAACATCAATATACATCAATGATCTTTTTGGAAAATCACCAGTGGGTTAGTTATAATCCACTAATATAGTGGGTTATATATATATAATGGGTGTAGAATAAATTCTAACCCACTTCCCCATTCAATCCATGACGAAATCCATGTCGCGTCTCCGCTTCAGCGCGCCTCTTGGACCAACTCACGGTATTCTGCAGACCTTAAGTTTGTGGCCAGGATACAACCTTCTGACGGGTTGATCGAATCATGTTTCCAATGGACCATGGAGGTCTTAATCCATTCACAAGGGCTGACCGGAAAAAAATGAAACACTGTCCGATGTTCGGATGTTGAAGTAAACCATCCAGGCTTTCCCCAGCCATTCGGAAACCCCCCCCATTTCGCCATTTCGCCATTTCTTCATCGCCACATGAGTCACGTGAGCTTCGCGTCCTCAGTCTGAGACGCAAAAACTGCTGCCAGTGCCTCCAAGGCTGGCAGCTCAGAATCTGCCTTGGCGCCAGTTGAAAATCCCAGGGGTATCCAGTTGGGTCAAGTCACAAGGAGCTCCCAATGGGGAAAATTCATGATTTTTTATGTCATGATTATTGATGATTTATATTAATGTTGGGGTATATAATATATATATATACATTTATGATTTTGTGCTATTGAACTATGTTTAACAAACAAATCTTGAAACCATCCATTTTGGGGAGTTGATCCGACTCACTTGCACATCGGGAAGAAAGCCATAGACCATGGACTCTGAGAGATTTGACCAACTTCTGCTTCTTGGAGGCTTCACTTCCAGCCTGACACAATCAAGCCCTGAGACCGAGCTGGCGAGATGCCCTTTACTTGACCTGCTAAAGTTCCGCGCAGTTTCCGATGGTTTTTCCGATTGTCGCCAACACACCAAGGCACACCAATTTCGGTGAGGCCTGTGGGCAATTTCGGTGAGGCCACCCAAATGATGACGCTGCTATTCCACATAGCCGATCCTTTCCAAGACTCTTACACTTTTGATCCAAAATTAGACGAAGAGGAAATGGAAAGGCACAATGGTCCGACAAAGTGACCATGTACCAAGGTGCGAGACAAAAACTTCTCGGCACATCTACAAAAGCTGACGCATCTGGAGCCCTTTCTCCCAAATGGAGCTATGCCTCTGTACTTGTCATTAAAAGCCCAATCCAGTTCCACATGGTCAGCTCTATAGCACATGTCAAAAGCTGTGCTGATCTAAAGATTGTTTTTTGGTGACTTTTGCACTTGTCATGCAGTGAACTTCAGCCACTTGGGCGAGTTCTCGAAGGCTTTCACAAAGTCCTGTCAGCATGGGGAATCACAATGAATGCGCCAGAAGATGCACTGCTCAACGGAACAATATTATTATGCAATATTATGCAATATTATGCCAACATGAAGCGCTGAAAGGAAAACACTGGATCCAGATGGTTAGATGCTGCTCCTTGTCATCTTGACAGGCTGACTTGATGTGTCCCATCGGCAGCAGCCTCCAGCAACATCCAACCAGCCCCAGCCCACGGCTTCACAATTTTCACCGCTCCCAGCGGCTGAAATTCCGACCTCAGGACGAAATGATCCACGAGTGGAAGCTCCTCCACCACAGCTGGATCAACATCGACGCTATTCCATGGCTCGCTGCTCTGGCCTGGGGCGAAAAAAAGGAGCCGAAAAAACGAAACTAGGCGCCGAAAAGACTCCTGGACACTGGGGAAGTTGGTTGATAAGTTGATAACTATATATTATCCTATGATAATAACTGGCATTCACGGTGGATATTCCTGGATATATCTATAGTTGGATGATGTTAGATGATGTTGGATGACGTTGTAAACCAACTTATAACTGGAGGGCCTTCCTGGACAAATGATAAAAATAAAAGTCAAAGAAATGTTCTTTAGCATGACTCCTGGTTTCAAACAGAGCTGAATGATATGCTTTGCTGCTAAAACACACAGCTCTTGCTAAGGACTCAACAGCGCTGCTCGAAAGAGCCATGGTCTTCCTCATGACATGGCCTGAGCAAAAAGTGCTCCATTTGCTCAAGTGACATCGAGTTCAAAACCAATCAGCAAGGGTGCTGTTTTCATGCGTAGATATGCAAGACTGACACAGGGGACTGGGGCTTTGGCACATTTTCACATGCTTTCCTGAAACTACCAAGGTCCAAGATGAGAAAGTCTTCTGAGAACTTCCCATGAAACTGCTCCATGATGCATTTGGATATGGATCCTGAAATTCCAAGTTATCTTCTGCCTGATGGCTTGTTTCATCTCCGCGCTGCAATCAGCTGCAATAGAAATCGCCAAGCCTTCCTGCTGCCAGAGTGTCATTGCCCAATTTGGGTCTGGTTGATGCTCTTTTTTTCCTTCTTAAAACATTTTGAAACTCTTGTTTTCCAATTTCACCTGTAAAAATCTGTAAAATAGGTTGCCCATGGTCAGCCTAACACTTGGAGACCCTCGCAGGCATATCCTTGGCATTGGTCAGCAGGAAAGGCATGAGATGCAAGATGACCGCGTCCAACTCGTCCTGCGGCCACCAAGATTGGGTGTTACGCCTGGGTGTTATGTCTCATGGGTTTTGCCATAGAAGTGACAATCTAATAAGAGATAATAACAGATAATAGAACTTAAACAATAGATATGTATACATACATATATTATATATATATATTATATATGACAATAGATAATAATAAAACCAATATTCTGTCAACAATATAATAGATCATAATAGATCATGGTTCACCATTTTATAGAAGCATTTTATAGAACCTACAATGATGAAGCTAAGCTGTCCGAAGCTCGCACACGGAGTAGAGTGGAAACATCACGCAGAGGCGGACGCCTCGGGAGCCAGCAAACATGGGAGTGGATCCAACGAATCATCCCAAGATAGGAAAAAAAATGGAGAATCAGAAACATGGAGGTTTTAATGGGAAAACCATAGGAACACCATGGGAAAATGGAGATTTACCCTCTGGTTTCTACGTTTACATAGCGAACTGGAAAATCACCATTTTTAATGGGTAAATCGACTATTTCGACTGGGCCATTTTCAAGTTAGCAAACTGTTGGTTTACCAGGCCGGGTACGGTATTTTTCTCATCACCAGGATCAAAAAATATTCTTTGCTTCACAGTTATCCCACAGTTATCCCACAGTTATCCCACAGTTATCCCACAGTTATCCCACAGTTATCCACAATGACACATTCTGTTGGTGAAGCTTTCGCTCCAACTTGGCCAAGCCACTGAAGTCCCCACAGAGTGGTGCGATTGCCAAAGCCCTGCTTGGCCCCACAGCTCTCCTCGCTGGAGATGGGTCGGGTAAAAAAACGGTAGAACCCCATGAGATACCTCTAAAAATGATATAAAAATGATATTTATATCCTATTTGAGATACCTCCATACCTTTGAGATACTTGGTTTATATCCTTGGTTTTTGATCCTTAAAAATCAGCAAAAACCTCACTTCGGCATACTTCGGCCAAGATTCTTTGAGATATTCCGCTAAAAGCACAGCATAACCGCGCAGCTCAGCCTTGCCCACGGCTTGAAGTAGCTGACGAGCTCCACTACTTTGGGATCTTTCTCGTTGAGCAGCCTCCGCCAAGTGCTTTGGCTCGTAGCGTGCCATGTATGTGGGTGTACTGGAAGGAACAAAAACGGGGCCAGCGGTGAATTTTCGCATCTCACGACGTGGAGGGAACTCGCCAAAGATTTCTCCGTCCTGTGGTCTTGCCTGTGCTGTGAGCGCAGGTTTGCCCTCACGGCCAACACTGTAAATGGCTTGAGCGGTGGACTCGAAGAGTTGTTGCATGATGGGGAATCCCTGGTCATCACCATTCACTGCAAGTGTAATTGGCTGCTCTGTCGTCAACCACTTGGACAGGTCTTTCAGGAAGGCTGGATCTTTCACAGATCCCCTGGGTGGTGTACTGACATCCAGGTAAACCCGCCGCCAGTGTTCCTCCACTCCGTTGGGTGTGAGGCCTTTGGCAATTCGATATGCCAAGGGTTGGGCCCCAGGCGCTGAGGGAAGAACTTCATAGCCATCTTTCGCTTGAAATCCTGCCGCCCACTGGCGAAACAAAGCATCAAAAGCTCCCTTGCGCAGACTCTCGGCAGAAGAATCTGTCACTGCCACTTGGCCAAAGATTCTCTTCAAATCTTCTGCCTGGATTGACTCTGTCACCAAATGCCTCATGGCTGTGCACTGGCCACTGTTCTCAATGGTACTAGACATCCGGGCTGCTGCTTCGATCTCGCTATCAAGTTTTGGAGCAACCATGGTGTTGGGGCCACCTGTACCTGGTGTCAAAACATGAATGCTTCGAACACAGATGTGCCAATGTGCAACCATGAAATGTTAAAAAATCGTAAAATTGACAAACGTTGACGTTGACAAACAAGCAGCTGGCGAAGGTGTATGGCATCAGCTCCTTAATGGCTGCAGCAACCTCTCGACTTCCCGTCAGATAGAGTGGACTTTGACTCATCTGCGACATGATCTTTCGCTGCTCTTCGATGCTGCAAGAGACGTAACTCACCAAAGACGTGTCCACTCCTTCTTTCTGCATCTCATCCTTAGAACATGTAGTTGAAAAACTACATGAAACAGATCCCGAAACAGATCCCGAAACAGCACTTTTCAGAATCCCACTTCAGCAGCCACGGTAGTGAAAAATGGTAGTTCTGTGAATCACTGAGCTGTCACTGAGCTGTCGAGCTGTCGAGCTGTCACTGAGCTGGGCACTAGAAGAAGCTGCACCCAACGATAGATATGCTGCGTGGTGTTGGACCTGGAGAGTATCAACACTGGGATCCCCAGCTCGATATTTCTCAGGCTCTTGCGGCAAAGGTCCAAGAAATTGCTGAAGTTGGATACACATCCCACCAGCGCTGTATGTCTTTGAATTCGGACCCGACCTGCAAGCTCATCTTCCAGAAGTAAATCGTTGAGCTTCCTCTCCACAACATTTGCTTCGATGGATTCTTCAATCTCTGTCACTCCATCTTGTTTGTAAAAGTCCAGAGCTTGATTGCCAATGAGGAAAGCTGCATGCTCAGAGAGAAGTCTTTCTTCAATGCGACGAATGGCAGCTCGGTAGTCCTTTCCAGGAGACAAACCCTTGACGTGATCCACAACTTGATTCACAACTTCTGGAGTCGCCAAAATTTGCTTGCCATTGATGTTGCCGAATGCGTCCACAGTGTCCACGGTATCACCCTTCTTAAGCGCTTGCCCGCGAATCAACGTGCACACTGGGTCGTCAAACCAAGCTTTCGACTCAAAATTCTCCAAGTATTTCACTGTGTCACTCCTCAAAGTCTTCACATCCACGGGAGGGAATTCCCCAAAAGATGACACATACGAAGGCGAAGCAAAGTGGTAGGACCTCCCGACAAAAGTGATCACTTCACATCCAGAAATCCAAAAACATCAGCACAACTGGCCTGCGCTGTGCACCTGTCAGAAACTGTCAGAAATTCACATGGAACAAATTTGAATAAATCCATCCAGAAATCCATCCAGTTTCTGGAAGCTTGTTGGAGTCAAAACTTGACGGAAGCACACACCAGAAGGCCGCGAGAATTCACCTTTCGGCCATGGGCTTGCCTGAAACGACACGTGTCGTGGTCGCTCGGTTGGAACGCCATGGTGCGATGTTTCAGCATCGCGCCTACAAATCTCCCGGTGAAAAGCATTGAAGCCACGGTGCGATGCTGGCGGCCTTAGTGGTAAATCAGTCCCAAAACCTGGAACAAATCAATGGGAATTCCGAATGGAGATCTCCAGGATCCAACAGATGGAGGTTGTACCATATTTCTGGCCATATGAATTGTGGGGTATATCCCCTTAGGCCTAAAAAATAGGCCAAAAATATATGGAATCGGTACCTCCAATTTTTATCGGTTCCGCTTCGTCATGGCCATTGAACAAAGCCAACAAGGCCGTGAGCTATGGCAGCTATGGTCCTCATGTGTCCAAGACTTGGGGCTCCAGCATACGGTAGCTCCAGCTGGACCCCGGGACCGCGAGTACGCCGTGGTACACGGCGTGTCTTTTGTCCCAACGCTAAAGCGGCTGCGGAACAACATGTGGTAGCGAAGAAGTCGGTGGTCCCGCGCCGGACAGCTCAAAAACGGCCAAATGACAGGTTTCTCAAGGCATTTGTTTGTTGGTTTCTCAAGGCGCCTTGGAAAGGCGTGGTGCCAAATCCTGGAGGAAAACTCCACAATGAATCCAATGGATCCAATCCGCTGGGAGATCCCACATGGAAGTCCCTTCGTCCTGAGTCTGGAAGAAGCGGAAAAGATCCGTTTCTTTCTCAGTGGCATCCACCTCAGATCGATCACAGTATTTTAACCATGGGTCGCAATGAGAACTCCAAGGTCCATACTTTCTGAATCTCTTCCCGCACGGCTTGTAAGCCCTCTGGTCCCAGGAAAGGACGAATCACCACCTGAACATCTGAAAATCTGAAATCATCTGAACAGGCCGGGCATCGGGAAATGTTGTTCGTAAGACATGGCAGGGTGGACGTGCGGGAATGGTTTGGCTTCTTGGAACTGAGCTTGCAAACGCCTGGCAGCAAAATTATGGAGGCCTCTGATCAACAATGTTGGAATGTCTGCTTTATAAGCTAGACCACCTAAAAATCTACAGTATGTATTTTTGTATGGAAATAGTTACATAATCTAATTATCCGATTAATGTACTCCGATCCAATCTCATCCGACGCGATCCCATCTAATCTGTTTGTCTCGTAACCAGCCTGCGAGCTTCAGGTTTCCTCCACTCCTCGTGACAACCTGGGTCCGATCGCGGTCAATGTCCTGAAATACAATCTGGGAAAATTATGATAATTCACTGACCTGAAACAAGGTGATTTTGGGATGACTCTCTACACTAACAGTTACTAACCATCATTCCAGGGCTCGGTCTCAGTGAGGTCGTCATGATTTACCCAGGTACCATGATTGAGAAGCGAACGAACTGTCGCCATGCAGAGCAAGAACTGGTGGCTATGAAGAAGAAACAAATTCTTGCTGTGCACCGTCTGCGTCTGTGCCATGTGTGTTCCAACACCGTAATCTGACTTTCTGGGATGTGAAATCGAAGCTGTAGGGCAAGTACAAAAAGACTGGCAATCAAAGATAGATTGATGATGTCAAATATGTTATCTGGAGCACAACTCCACACATCAAGCTTGAGACTGTGACTTCGAAACCTGTGCCAATCACCAAAGCAAAGGGCACGGTGTTCAACTTAACCTACCGTATGGCTAGTTCCTGCACTCCGTTTTGCTCTCCATTACAGGATGTAGACTGTCCAGCAAGTGAAACGTAAAAAATCCGGAAATGCCCAAATCATTCTCGATGCCTTGCACTGAGTCGCTTGGTTAGACTCTGGATGAACGTGTTTGTTCTCCATTGCACAGATTTGATGCTGCCCTGTAACAGAAGGTTGATCAAGCATGTTCAAATCTCTTATTCAGGTGGATTTACTTCTACTTTCACCATTCAACCATAATTGATCACCCACAACTTTGTCAACGAGGCATCATCACTCTGTGGCTTTTCTGAGTGTCAGGTTGTGAGCATCGCCGCTCACAGGATTTCACACAAAGCCTGGTGGTGCATCATGGGCCGAGGGCAGTTTGGACTTTGTGGAGTCTCGGTTCCGCTCTCGGTTCCGCTCTCGATTTCGCACCCGGGGATTTCGCAAGGCTGGGCTTGGCTCGATACCAAAGGCATCCAAATCCTGGGACCACTTCCTGAGGCAAAACATCGAAGTTGCCCAAGCTGTGTGAGATTTTCTGTTCATCATGGCTGAAGCTAAAGCCAAATAAAGCCAATTCCTCAAGACCATTCCCATGGATGTCAGTGTGCTACAGTAAAAGACTGAGATTGCAAACGATTCTCAATCCATTGATCAAACCAAGCATCTGCAGTACCTCTGCAACACCAAGCTCTTGGAGAATCGCTGGGGCATCCCAGGATTTCTCCTCTGTGTACATGTTCCAAAAGAAGGGCTTGGCGTTGTCTTTTCGTTCACGAAAAACAATCCACTCACCCATCTCTGCGATGCCTCAGGCCGTCTCAAAGCTGGACATGCTGGCCCTGGCTATTGGCCAGAGTCAGTGATATGCGAGGGAGTGCTCTGCTAAGAGTTGATCCAAAAGTGACATATATATAATATACATATACATATACATATACATATACATATACATATATATATATGTATAAGTCTATGTATGTGTATATTATATGTACATGTATATATTCTTTCAAGATGCATTGCAAGCCAAGATATTCTCCTTCACGAGTGCCAGGCACAACCTCCGGCAGTGTGGCGGTCGGCTCCCAGGTCGCCACGGCCGGCGTCCAGTCATAGGAGTCGCAGTATCCACTGACTCCACAGCCATAGTCCGATTCGGTCCCTGTCGATGGTGTGAGAAAGCTCTGAAAAGAGGGGGTGAATTCCGGCGCCGCGGCATTCAAAGCACTAGGAGCTGGAGGCATTTCGGATTTCCGCATCCAAACCTGACGGTTTGAGAGAAGAAAAAGTTCGGTACGAAAAGGGAATCTATTCCATGAAACTGCAAGAGAAGAGCCCAAAAACCTGAAGAACTCTGAATTATCTACAGCCAAGGTTTGCAGCTCCAATTCCAAAACTAAATTCCATTCATGATGCTGAGAGTTTACAATTTACTATCACAACATGGCGCCAAGAATCGTTGAAGCAGCCGATCGGGTACGGAGCCAGCCCTTTGGACTTTGGACATCTGATTCTGAAGAAGTCGGAACAGCCAAGTATTGATTCTATACACAAAAACTCCAAGAAAAGACCCTACTACATCCTTTAAAAAATCTGGGAGCAACACAAGGGATAAGACTTCGGTATGCGACTCAATTTCAAGTATGGGCAGGATCTTTCAATGAGGGCACTCAACAGCAGGTTGATTAGAGTCAAGGCAAATCACTTCATTACAGTTCCACAAAACATTTTAGTTTGAAGCCTGCAGTAAAACACGCCCAAATACCCGTTGTCTTGGCACCAAATTCGGACTTTGAACCTCTGTCTCGTCGACCCCCCAGAAGTTGCTTTCGAATACACACAAGAAAAACGTGTGTGTGTGTGTGAATTAGACGCCCTTGACGCCCTTGGTTGGATAAGAAAAAAACATTTTCCACATTGGAACACAAAAAAACAAGTCTGACATGATACACACACAAAAAGAGAAAAAAAAAAGAACAGAAAGAAATGAAAGGAAATTAATGAATGAAAAATACATAGTCTAATTGTGCTAAATTCATTAATACAAACACAAGAGAATGACTGGGAATGACTTTCACCACACTGTGTCACCTGGCCTTGGGACTCACAGCACCAGTTTCACCATCGCCGCCTTCACGACCTTCACGACCTTCACGACCGCGGTGGCGATTCTCGGTGCCGTTTCCACCAGCTTTGCGCTCGGAATTCGTGGCATTTCGCAAGCGGTGTTTCTCCAGTTTCTCCTCCACAACCAGTCCACTTCTGCGCGGAATTTGTTTGGAATTTGGAACAGAATGGACCAATTATCAAAAGATTGTTTCACTGAAGTAAACTGGAGCACACAAAAAATGCAAAAACCGTCTGGAAATTCCAAATCAGTTGTGGTAACGTACACAAAACATGTTTCTGCAAACAAATCATAAACACGTGCATCTCATCCAAACGAATGAACTCGGCTCCTGTTTTTTTCCTGTCTTTGTACTGGGCATTTTCTCCCCTTTGACAATCTCCAAAATCCGGCTGATGCGCTCATGCGCCTGGCGACACGACACGTTGGAACAACCCCTGCACCAAAAGAAACATGTACCTTGCCTCACCCTGCTCGTCTGGCGACTTCATTGGAATTCCCCAGCCCCCTCAGCAGCCCAGCCGCGGAAATCCGCGGTATGGAGGGCTTCGCAGGGCAAGGGCTGAGCCGAATCGCAGTGGCATGGAAACAGTAAGTTGGACACCTGCAGAGTGCAATGTCAAATCATGTTGTACGCTGTTTTTTTACTTTTTGCACAAAGGTTGTATAGAGAGTAATGATTGCGAAGTTTGTGGGTTTTAAGTTGCCTTTTCATGCCTTTTCCAATTTTTCAGGACAAGTGCAACTGGCATGTAGTTATGTTGGTGGAAAAATTAGACAATTCAACATCAATGACCTGGCCGTCACATCAGCGCAAACACTAGCCGTGTTATCTTGCTAAAATTACAAGCCTGATTTGGTTCATGTGATTTGGTTCATGTGTTTCTGCAAATTCACACAGCAACCAAAAAACCCACCATACACAAACAACCTGGAAACTGCCACTAACACATAGCAAAATTGTCAAACAAATGTTGTTGGCCAGAAAACGTCGCCAAAAACATGAAGTTGTTCAATCCAATAATCGCCGCGTTCCTTCCAAAAGACTATGGATGCGGCCAGCATGTTTCAAATTGAAGTTTAAAAGGTCAGTTTTCAAGTGGGAAAGGTTTGTTTCGAAACCTGGGGTTTGGCTGACTTGGGGGGGGGCAGCGGGGGAAACAAACTGACTCTGGGAAAAAAAAAAATGTTTCCGGCTGAGAAACAAACGTTTCCGAGCCCTAGGGGCCTTAGGAACAGGTTAGTTTCCGGGTCCGGAAACAAAGGGTTTGCGCCGGAAAGGGTTTTTTCCGGCCAAGAAAACTAAAGTTTCGAAACTCTAGTTGCAAGTTTCCGAAACTAGAATTTTTCGAGGGCAACGAATGAGTAAGTTTGTTTCCGCAGCCACGGCGAAACACCGACAACCACCCAACCACCCAACCACCCAACCACCCCACCACCCAGCCACCACCCAGCCACCCAGCCACCCAGCCACCCAGCCACCCAGCCACCCAGCCACCCACCAACCACACCAACCACCCAGCACCCAACCACCCACCAACCACCCAACCACCCAACCACCCAACAACCACCCAACCACCCAACCACCCCCACCCACCACCCAACCACCACACCCACAATCACAACAACAACAACAACAACAACACCAACAACAACACCACCAGCAGCAGCAGCAGCAAAAGCAACAGCAACACCGACAAGAGGCAACACAAGAAAAATGCAAAGGAAAAAACCTAAAAAAGGGCGCGAGAGAGATGACGATAATGGCTACAATTGGGCGGTGGCGGTCAACAACGAACGGGGCTCGAAACGGAGTTTCATCGCCTGGAAACTAACATTTCAAAACTAAAATGTTTCAGGCAACACGTCTGTTCGAAACAAAAGTTTTCCATGCCCATGAAAAACAAACCTGTCGATTTGGCAGGGTGGCACTTACAAGGGAGGCCCCAACTCCGTCTCCAAAAATCATATCAATTTCAGGTACCAAAAACGAACCCAAAACTAGCTCCTTGTACCTGCTTGTCTTGGTCATGACAATCTTTCCCTTTCTGTTCTGTTGATGAAAAGAGGTCCCATGTTTCCAAAGCCTGCAATCGAGGCGCTTCGAGGCTCGGCGAGGCCTGGCTCAGGCCACGCCTCGGACGCAAAACGTATTGGCACAAGGACAAAGCGAGGCTTACGGGGACTCGAAACTATATAACACTATTGTTGAAGTCCCAGCAAGGTTGAACTTGAAGTAGTTGGCAACTGTGCTGCCTTGCTAGAATTTTAGGCCGCAGCTGGCGCAGAGGGACGGTCTCAAGGCAAGCCTCGAAACTTCAAGTTGATGGAAATTGCGGCGAAACAAAAAGTTTATAAGATGAAACAAACTTGAAGGCAGGCCTCAATGCAAGTCTCGAACTCCAGTGTCGCGAGACCATGGAAATTAGGAAAAAACACCTCGGAGCAAGCTTCGAGGCAGGCTTCGAGGCAGGCCTCGAGAGCGTCAAGCCTCGAAAATTGAAGCAAAACAATATGACAAAGAAGGGACCCTTTTTTGGTCCTCAAAACGTAAGAAAAAGCAGGTGTGCAAAAATGGGCCTCCACAGTTCAAGCTTCCACTCGCTGCTGGTCAAATCAACTTCAACTTGAAATAAATGCTTCAAAAGATTTGCGACAATGAAGGGCCCAAAACTGGACTCTCCAGGGGGGACCACTTTTGATTTCAAGGGGTCCACTTTCTGACCCCTGTTTAAACACGTTTCCTTTGCACGGGGGTCCAAAACTGGACCCTCAACAGATTGAATCCGGTGCCTCCTTGGAGGTCCGGTTTTAAGCCCATCCCGAGTAGAATAAGGGCCTCGAACAAAAAAGGCCCCAACTCCGTCTCCAAAAATCATATCAGTTTCAGGTACCAAAAACGAATCCAAAACTAGCTCCTTGTACCTGCTTGTCTTGATCATGACAATCTTTCCCTTTCTGTTCTGTAGATGAAAGAGGTCCCGTGTTTCCAAAGCAGGAAGGATCCGAAGACTAAAACGAACAGTACCCTTCACCTTCAGAAGGCTTGAAGGGGGGCTTGAAGGGGGGGCTTCAAGGGGGGCTTCAAGCCCTTCTCAAGGGGGCTTCAAGGGGGCTTCAAGGGGGCTTGAAGGGGGCTTCACCTTCAAGGGCTTGAAGGGAGCTTCAAGGGGGCTTGAGAAGGGCTTCAAGGGAGCTTCAAGGGGGCTTCAACGGGGGCTTCAAGGCGGCTTGAGAAGGACTTTAAGGGGGCTTCAAGGGGGCTTGAGAAGGGCTTGAAGGGGCTTGAAGGTGAAGGCTTCGAAGGGGGCTTGAAGGGGGCTTGAGAAGGGCTTCAAGGGGGCTTCAGAAGGGCTTCAAGGGGGCTTCAAGGGGGCTTGAGAAGGGCTTCAATGGGGCTTCAAGGTGAAGCGGTTTTCAAGCGGGGCTTGAAGGGGGCTTCACCAGGGTTTCAGGGGCTTGAGAAGGGCTTGAAGGGGGCTTCAAGGTGAAGAGGGCTTCAAGGCGGCTTGGTGGGGGCTTCAGAAGGGCTTCAGAGGGCTTCAAGGGGGCTTCAGAAACGTTTGAAGGGGATTTGAGCAAGGTTTGAAAGGTGCTTGAGAAAGGCTTTTGAGAGGGTTGCGCCGCCTGATCACTTGCGCCTCAAACCGATCACTTGCGCCTCCAATAACGCCCCCCAGCCTACTCACTTGCGCCCCCCTCCCTGCCTTCCACAATGCCATGCTCTAAATTCTGAATTTTTATTTAAACTTCCCCCCCTTGCCTTCCACAATGCCATGCTCTAAATTCTGAGTTTTTATTTAAACTTCCCCTCCCCCTTGCCTTCCACAATGCCACGATCTAAAATCGAATTCTTTATTTAAACTTTCCCCCCCTTGCCTTCCACAGTGCCATGATCTAAAATCGAACTCTTTATTTAAACTTCCACCCCTTTGCCTTCCACAATGCCATGATCTCAAATCTAACTCTTTATTTAAACTTCCCCCCCTTGCCTTCCAATGCCATGATCTAAATTCTAAGTCTTTATTTAAAGTTCCCCCCCCCCCTTGCCTTTCCACAATGCCATGATCTAAAATCGAATTCTTTATTTAAACGTTTCCCCCCCTTGCCTTCCACAATGCCATGATCTAAAATCTTCCTCTTTATTCAAACTTCCCTTCCCTTGCCATCCACTATGCCATAACCTAAAATCTTGCCATGATCTAAATTCAAAGTCTTTATTTAAAGTTCCCCCCCTTGCCTTTCCACAATGCCATGATCTAAAATCGAATTCTTTATTTAAACTTTTCCCCCCCTTGCCTTCCACAATGCCATGATCTAAAATCTAAGTCTGTATTTAAACTTCCCCCCCTTGCCTTCCACAACGCCATGATCTAAAATCGAATTCTTTCTTTAGACTTCCCCCCCCCTTGCCTTCCACAATGCCATGATCTAAAATCTACCTCTTTATTTAAACTTCCCTTCCCTTGCCATCCACTATGCCATAATCTAAAATCTAACTCTTTATTTAAACTTCCCCCCCTTGCCTTCCACTATGCCATGATCTAAAACCTAGCTCTTTATTTAAACTTCCCCCCTTGCCTTCCACAATGCCATGATCTAAAATCTAATTCTTGATTTAAACTTCCCCCCTTGCCTTCCACAATGCCATGATCTAAATTCAAACTCTTTATTTAAGGACTACCACCATGCTACAACTTCTTCAACGTGGAGATCGGTCTGCACAAGAGCCTGCGACCAGGATGGGCCATATTGAATTCTTTCCATGCTTGTTCTGAGAATATATCTTTTGGCCAGGAAGGATCCGAAGACTAAAACGAACAGTACCCTTCACCTTCAGAAGGCTTGAAGGGGGGCTTCAAGGGGGGGCTTCAAGGGGGGCTTCAAGCCCTTCTCAAGGGGGCTTCAAGGGAGCTTGAAGGGAGCTTCACCTTTGTGAAGCCGTCAAGGGCTTGAAGGGGGCTTTAAGGGGGCTTGAGAAGGGCTTCAAGGGAGCTTCAAGGGGGCTTCAAGGGGGCTTGAAGGGGCCTTGAGAAGGGCTTCAAGGGGGCTTCAAGGGCGCTTGAGAAGGGCTTGAAGGGGGCTTGAAGGTGAAGGCTTCGAAGGGGGCTTGAAGGGGGCTTGAGAAGGGCTTCAAGGGGGCTTCAGAAGGGCTTCAAGGGGGCTTGAGAAGGGCTTCAATGGGGCTTCAAGGTGAAGCAAGCGGGGCTTGAAGGGGGCTTCAGAAGGGTTTCAGGGGCTTGAGAAGGGCTTGAAGGGGGCTTCAAGGTGAAGAGGGCTTCAAGGCGGCTTGGTGGGGGCTTCAGAAGGGCTTCAGAGGGCTTCAAGGGGGCTTCGGAAAGGTTTGAAAGGGGGTTTGAGCAAGGTTCGAAAGGTGCTTTTGAGAGGGTTGCGCCGCCTGATCACTTGCGCCTCAAGCCGATCACTTGCGCCTCCAATAGCGCCCCCCAGCCTACTCACTTGCGCCCCCCCCCCTGCCTTCCACAATGCC